GGGCCGCGCGGGGACACGGCGGCCTCGCGCGGGGCGACGCTCCCGCAGTCGGCGCGGGGCCAGGCCCGGGAACCACGCCGTGACTCCCCGCTCCTGCTCTTACCCAATTAACCTACGGAGAGAAGAATAGAAAGGGTGGCGATTAAGCTGCGATCCTCCCGTGCCGCGCTCCGGTGCAAGCGGGGGCCGAGCCGGGCGCGCTCCCCGCAGCGGCCAGGGCTCTGCTCCTGCGCCCCGAGCTGYCCGCCAGCCCCAGCGCAGCGTGGGCCCGAGCAAGCGCGGGGGACTTGGAGGCGTCCTCGGCACTGGGGCTCCTGGAAAGGCTAAAATAAGGGGTGGGAATGGGCAGCAAAGGCGGATGCAGCGGGAGCGAGCGGGGCTGAGCACAGTCTCAGTGTTTAAGCAGCCAGGAGACATCCTGAGCGCGTGAGAACTTAACACCCCAAAAATAAGCCACAGAACACTTCTAATGTCCAAAATAGACAAGTATCCCTCATTAGTGCTGGATCTTGTGCTAAAAGATAAACAAAACCAAATGTAGGCTTAAATCTAATCACTTACTGCACTGTGCTGACTACCCGATGTGCAGTAAAACAGGCAAGGTTTAGAATGAGGAAACTTTAAAGATTACAGGGCGTATTTCTGCACGCAGCGGCTGGTGCGGGCGGTACAGCCAGAGCCCGGCCGTGGGGCCAGCCCCACTGCGCCCGCAGCCCCACTGCGCCCGCAGCCCTGCTCAAGGGTCTCCTGCTGAGCCAACTCCAGCTTCTGTTTTCCTGAGATTCTACCCACATCGATTCAATAACTTTCCTTTCCAAACACAGAGGACAGACAGGTTCCTTTGGAACTCCTTTCCAAACACAGAGGACAGACAGGCTTCTAGAATCGAGCTTAATAATACAGGACACCACAACACTATTCTAGAAAGTGCTGCTTGGTGTCTCTCTCTTTCACACTGGGAATCTCACATCAATTAAATTGGTATGATGTGAAATTTAAGTGGAAGCATGAAAGTGTGTGCAGACAGTGAAGTTTCTCATTATAGTCCCCGTTCTCAGCCTGAAGAAAAATGGCAGTACTGATATTCCTTTGGAATATGATCCTTTGCTCCCAAAAATTCTAGGAAAATGCAGATATTCCTCTTTGCTTCACTGTCTCCAATTCTCATCTGAAAGTTGAAGCTAATGATGACCATCAAGCTATGAAAAATGTCTACTCTGATGCAAAGCATTAACACATAAAAATCCACCAAATAAACAGCAGAAGCCAAAAAAACAAACAAAAACACATAAAAAACCCAGAGGAACTGGGGACATACAAGATTTAAGCTGTTATGCCCATACTCAAACATCCTCAAAACATTTTCACCAGCCTCGACAACTAAGTGGTTAACACAGATGCCCTAAAAATGTACAATGAAATGCATCACTCCCTATACAAGCAATAGATTATAGCAGCATTTAAAATCACAAAGTGACATTTTAGCAAGTATAAAAATTATAATCTGGGAAAAAAACCCAAAACTTAGTTGCCAATTATTTTTAAAGGCTGAGAAACCTACACGATCTTTGTTTTCCTACCTCTTCGTTCTCGGTAAGTTACTCTGTTAGAGGCTCTCTATGCGTGGCCAGGGATAGAAGCGAACACAGGACAGCCCTCAAGGYTCCTTCTCCTGCCCTCGCTGCTGCTTCAAGCAACCAAGACACCAGCGTGTCAGGAGGCAGCACAGCTCCTGACCGCTGCATTCCCCCATGCACAGGTTTCTCAGCTCAAGCACCTTTAAACCATGATCTTTTGACCAGCTCTGATGAACAACACCTGCCAGAGGCTGCAACAACCTGTTCCCCCCTGCATGCCCACACTGAATGATGTGTTGGGATCAACAGCCCCATCGCGTTCCTCAACAGGGCACAGCTTCACAAAGCCACCRGGTCCCGTTGATCACAAATTCAGAGCAGGACGCACGGATGCTCAGAGTGAAAACCAAAAAGCTTGGTAACAAGAGTCTTCACTCATACAGGACATACATATAAGGAAAAATTAAATGTGTGTGTGTAAGTATGTATCTGAAATTATCTGGCAGGAGGGTAGAGCAGAACTGCTGTTCTGCTTTCCCAGTTTCCTGCCTAATTTCACTCGGGGGTGATGCCACACAAGCAGTGAGCAACAGGAGYGACTACCTGGCAGTGCCAGCTCTGGACAGCACTGCATCGTTTGTAGTATCTCAACAGGCATTTACTCTGCTTGTTCTGCTCCTTGGCTAACCCCTGCGCAACCAGCTCCCCACCTTAAGCAGGCTGACAAAACAGCCACGAATTCAAACTTAATGGATTTGCCAAACACGCTGTGAAGATGGCTCCTGTCACCAGCAGCAGCAATGCAGGTGTTTCCTGGGGATTTGTCCCGGGGGACGGTTCCTGGGCGCTCCCGACGATCCGTGCACTCTCCCTGGCTCATGGAAAGGCTGTTCCCCACACGACCGGGCCCGACGCCTCCGGCTCCGACCTCCACGCGGGCTCTGTTCTCGCAGAGCAGAGGCCACGGGCAGCGAGGGAGCAAAGAGCCCCGCGCTCTGCTCTCCTCCCCGCTCCTGCAGTCAAGCTGCACCAAACGCAATCAGATCGTGATCACTACTGCCTCCTGCCCCTTCTTTTGAATTATTGCACGGGACCAACACTAGCATCTCCTAAAGCAAAGGTAATGTGAAGACATGACACAAGTTCCTTCTCATTTGTCCCAATGTTTAGTCATTTGCATTGTTAAGAAATAAAAGAAACTTGCCTGGCCTTTATTTCCAATATGAAAGTACTATAGCTTTCCTGAACAGGCAGGGAATCTGCTTGGTGCTCCTTAGCATTAACGTAGTGCTGCAGGGGTATTTTTATACTTAATCAAAAAGAAGACTTAAAAACAGCAGAGYGGGCAAGGCCAGGCAGAGCTTCATGTGGAGGATTCACCCTCCACCAGGGCTGCACTCGTGCCCACCGGCCGMCCCGGGACGTTTGGCACAAACCCACCAGTGCAACCGGCGCAGCGCTGGCACCAGGCGCCTCCGCACGACCGAGCACCGCGCGGGGCAGCGGCTGCAGGGCAGCGCCGCAGCCCAGGCCCTCCGCAAACCTGCCCCGGGGTATCTCACTCAGCCCTGATAACTCCCTGGAACAACAGCTGTATTTTACAAAGAAAATAAAGCCTCTCCTAATCAGTGTCTTAACACGAGGACATTCCTGTTCCTCTCTCAGTGACATGCTGCCTCCTCCACAGCCCCTGAAGTGGCACACAACAGAGAAACCACAACAACTGAGGTTGAACTTATCCCTAAATCGATGCTATGAGCTCATTCAGGCAAGCAGAACGACTATGTTTTTCTCCAGAGGGGTAGGCAGGTGCTACGTGCCCACCAAACGCTGCCAACCACTGCAGCAGCCTCAGGGAGGAGAAATCCAGCTGCAAAGAAAGCACAGGGAAAGGGCAAGTAGTGACTTACAGGGAACAAAACCTGTGCCCTCCCCATCACTTTCTCCAGCACCTCTAGAAATCTTCTCCATCTGCATTTACTGGCACCATCTGTTAGYGAGAACTAACASGGTCTTAAGTAGAGACCCCTATTTCTGCAGAACACATGCTATTTAAATCGTCAMGACACAGGACTATTCAGTTTTTCTTAACTTTACCTTCACTAGTTCTTTACTTTTAAAGCTCRCTTATTTTCATCTACTTTGGCCCAACTTCCATTCTTTGTAAAACCGACTCTAGCAGAAAGACTTAGTTGAGGAAGGCGACTCCATCTGCTCGGAGGAGGAGGAGGCCTGCGAAGCTGTGGGGCAGCAGGGCACCACAAACTGCAACCTGGGACACGTCCCACTCATTTCCGTGCCTGCCTCCGCACTGCTCCTCAGACACAAGGACAAGCTCAAACGCAGACACAAACGCATGTCACACACATTTTTTTGTGCCATTGAAAATAAAAGGGGGTGAATGGAGGCATTTCTAACTTCTACTTGCTGTCAGTTTGCTCATAACATTTCTAAAAYGGGTGTTTTCATGAGGCAGAAAGTCTTAAAGGTGGATGGGATTAACACTGCACTGCCCCACASGACAAGCAAGGGTAAAAGAGACTTCTAACTGTCCCCTAGCTCGCTTTCAAGCTTCTGCTAGAACAGCAGCTTGGTGGCACCAAACCACAAGCCCGGCCACCACTCTGCCTGAGGACGATTAAATGTCAAAACGAGAGAAACTTCAGCAGTGGAAAAAACTTAAAAGTCAAACAAGGTATGATAACTAGTACATGTATTGCTGTATATTACTGTTAACGAGCATTTTGTAATTTAAAAATATATATATGTWACATATATATATTTCAGCCAAAATATATACGCCAAGATTAATTCCAAAAGACTTAAAAAAAAAAAATCTGTTTTAGTACTCAATGAAAAGAGATGGACGCTTATACGGAGCCTCTATCCGAAACAACTTTAATGTATGTCCTCCTCCACACGTGACTCTGCAATGGCTTTCAGACACACAGCAAAAGGTACGTTCTTCAAGGAGCGCCACTTACTCCACATGTCTCATTCTGGGTTTGCATGGGATTAGCCTTTGGCTCCATGTCTTGCCTTTTTTGGTTCTGCTTCAGTTGGTTCAAAGAGGGTTTCGCCTGCGCAGCGCCRACAGTTTTGCTCGTCCACTGATCAACCAGCTTGTGGAAGTCGTCGGTGAAGGTGCCTTTCTTGTTGTTGCTGTTGTTGGCCTGGACATGCAGCGAGGATTGCGGGAGGGGCTCCGGGCACGGCACAAGGCTGTTCGTAGAGGATCCTGAAAAATCACACAGGCAGCTGAGCATGGCATCCCGCTCCCACCACTCCRCTGCTCCAAGAGCTTTTCGCGGGCTGCAGTCCCAACAGTGGCTTTTCCGCCTTTTACCACTCCCGCCCCTTTCTGCAGAGCCCCTTTGCTTAAAGGAATGGTCCAGGCCCACGGCATTTGTATTTTCCGCTGGGGTCTATCTGTGGCCAGAGCCTCTCCGAGGTGAAGCCGGCAGCCAGGGCGGGAGGAGAGGCCGTGTTCCCACCACGGCGCCAGCRGAGCCGCCGCTCAGGAGCGGGAGCAACGCGCCGTGTTTGCCTAGAACGCCCCTYGCACACATGCCGTGCGTTTGACAAATGAACGGTACAGCATTCATCTCACGTGCACGGGTTTACTGTCCTCCTGCAAAGGCTGCAGAGTCACCTCTCTTCCAGGGTGGTGGCCCCTTGTGTCCCCAAGGCTGCACAGACTTACGCTCGTGCTCTTTGCACTAAGGGCATCTGCTCTGCCATCTTCTCGGTACTAAAATAAATCACATTAGTACCCATTAGCGTACAGAACGAAGAGGAGAGAGCAGGGCATGAGAGGCTATGCTAGTTTCTGACACAAAGAGACAGAATTTTTGATGCGGGAAGAGTATTGAAAGAGATTTAATTTTATACATTCACATATTTTTAGAATAACTAGAAAAATACCTCTCCTATTTACGCATTGGTAYCTACAAGTCTGACACAGCAAGATTAGCAATGGCCAGCAACTGTAAATGTGTAAATTTGACCTCAGCAGAAAATACAAAGCAACTTACTTATTCAACAAACGTATTCAATATATCTAAATATTTTYTTAAAAGACCATTTCTCCAAGCAAAAAGTTTAGAGAACTGTAGTCAAATTATTTATATAAGCAAACACCAACAATGCTCAAGTCTGTCTTCTGTTAATCAGCTCCCTGCCAAGAAACTTGGCAAACTAATTAGTCCCACAGTTATATACAACATATGATTAACCTTTAAGTGATCATGCATTCAACTTGCAACGCAATGTGCCTGCTAGCGAATCCTGTTCATTTCCTCTTCCTTTTTCGGGAGGAAATGGTCCAATGGGAAGAAAAGTATTTTGACAAAAAAGCTCTTCAATTACTGTTTAATATTTCATGCAGCTCAACAGGAACGGGGCTGTGTTAAGAACTCCTCCCACAACAAAGCTTCAGTCACGTAAAGCCCTGTATTTAACCCTAGACGTGGCACCTAGTCCAGCTTTCTCATTGCATGCGTGCACAGCGTCCCGCACWAGGACCATCACCCCCGCCCTGCAGCATGCGTGGTCCCCAGAACATCACAGCACATGCACTACTAGCAAGGAGCCRTCACTCCTGGAGTCACATTTCCTAACTGCGCTCTACCTGTTAAACTAGCTTTTAGTAAAACCATTAAAAACAACCCCCCCAAACATCCCATGCCACGAAGGAAATACTGAGAAACAAAAAAGGGATAGTTACTACTACTGTGATCTTTGCCTAGACATAGTCGTTTCAAGGTAGACCCTACAAGGTAAAACAATACAAGACACACAGCGTTAGGTAAGACTAAACACGACAGATCTGGTGGACAAGCTTCTGTACTTTTAAGCAATCAAAAAGTAGTTATTAAGCAAGAAAGGACAGACAAAGTCAGCAGTTCAGGTGAGAAAAGGAAGTCTAAATAATTGGACAGCTCAAACCTTTACTAATGTGCAGCCATTCAGAAGCTTTAAAAGTAAATAGCATGCCAAAAGCAAGGTCCCACAGCTGGAATTTTTGTTTCCAAATTGCCTTGGCTTCCCAATAGGAGATTTTGATTCCTACTCTACTTATGCAGGAAATGATGTCAATTCAGTTTGTGATAGGAGGCCAAAAATGCTTTCAGGAACAAGTACAGCTAGTCTGGCTGCAAAGACAAACTGTAAAACCCCAAAAGTTCTGTTTTACAAGTCCAAAAAGATACATTGTTCTGCAGGTCTGAGGCCAATTTCTTTTTTGAAACATTAGTACGATTTGTGTCTAAATGTGAGATTCTGAGCTTAAATTAACAGTACCTGTAAATAAGTTTCCCTTATGATTTTTTGAAGTAAAGAAAATTAATCCAGCAAAAGAGCTGAGTTATAATTTAAGCAAACTATGTGATTTTTTTTCATTATCTTGTTACATCTTTCATCATTCATTTAYGTATTCAGTTGGATAGACAGTATCTACAGTGCCAGGAGTGTCCAGAGCGCCCTATGTGACTGTCACATCTTGCCAGACATGAGCACCGTTTGCCACTTGAGTGCCAAATTTCCTGAAAGGTATTTTGGACTTGGGGAAGAAGAGTATCATTATGGATGGCAGGAAATGAGTATCTGGCATGGGGCATGGCAAGTTCATTGTGAAGAAGCACTTGAACACATGAATAAAATCAGAGGGCTGGGCAAAAATAAATAAATAAATAAATAATGCATGTGTTTTTCCTGTATGGTAAACTGGTGTTAATATACTATGCTACTGTGCCAGAGACGCAGCTTTAAAGTCAGATTTCAGGTCCACGATGACAGAGGCTCTGAATGAGTCTTGAAAGTGGAAAGGAGACATCACTCAGAGACCGACTGAAAAAGGGAAAATAGAAGAAAGAGGGAAGAAAAAAAAAAAGGGAGGAAAAAGATGCTTGTGTTTTGGTATGGGTGGCATGAGGAGGAACAGAAAGGTTGCCTTGAAAGATTTTTCTTATTGTTTTGTGTTTAATTTGTAAATTAGACTATTCTGTGGAAATCAAAACGACATCACTACGSTTATGTCCTACGGTTATGTCCAAGCAAGACCCAAAGTTTAGGCAACTCGAAGTCTACAATATGACAACTACAAGTCACATCCACAAGTGAACAGCCTGTCCTGTGCTTTTTAAATAGTTTGCTTGCTATTTTTTCTCCTCAGATGTACCTTACTTCACCTATTTTGTAAAGGAAGCTAGTGTCTCCTATTGGAGCTCCATTGGGATAGCAATACTAGGATGCTATTTTCTTCACTGACCTGCAGCAGTCTACATACAGATGTGGGTAGATTTGGCACTATATCTATGAAAAGCAACTCTCTGCAAAAAGATCAAAGCCAGCAGCTGACTGCTGTATCCTCAAAGGCATGTAGGAAAGTTTCGACACCAATCCCTTCCCCTTCCTGAAAATCAAGCCCAAGCTTTATGTGCACCTTGGAGGCCAAGTCTAGCCTAAGGAGCCCAAGAACAGCAACCCAGGTCACCACTGCAGAGCCACCACATGAAGGGAGCTTCCCTTATGGAAAAGGCTGCAGAAAGGTCCATGCCCAGGAAGATATCGCTCCAGCATTTTGATCAGGAAATGGGAAGCATTACCTAGGTGGCAACCCTGCCTGAAGTGGAGGCTGACAATCATCTGCTCATGTTCTTTGTCTAAACACAATTTCAATTTTAAAATGCACTGTATCATAAAGGCAAACCAAATCACCACGTTYGCCGTATTGCTTCTAAAATAAAGGTCTTTAATAGCTGAAAAAGTAAAGAGAAGGATCTTCATTACTTAARATTTGAAATCTAAGACTGTAATAGTTAAGTAGTGTTTTACTTCTGATTCCATATTTCATGTCTGAGAAATCATGTAGCTATTGTATTTTATAGACAAAAATCCACTGTCCTATATTTGCACTCACAGCTGCCAAAAAGCTTGAAAGCTACAAAACTGAAATTGCAATAAATTGTTAGGCCATTTCCATAATCATGTATTCACATACACTAAATTAATTACTCTCAAACTGACAAAAATGGCTTGACATTTTACTACAAGTCTAAGCCAAATGGAGCTTCTGAAGACTTCACTTATAGCTAGTCTAAAATGTCACCTTRGGCGCCCTTGCAGTTCAGTGAGCGAAAGCTCAGGCTAAAGTGGGTCTAGATCCCATCAAAACCTTTTAGTCCATGAAAAATGCAAAGGAAAAATCAACATTGGACCTGGGGACTGCCAAAAAAGCAGCTCCAGAAGAATATAGCTCAAAATGTTCACGTTTGATGGGTCTTATGAACTAGGAAAGATACAGAAGATCTGTCTTTAGAGGGTCTTTGTGCTGCGCGTGAGCACAGGAGCAAGCTGTGTCCCCAGTGCCCCATGGAGCCCGTCACTGTCCCCGCTGCCCKGCGGTGACGGTGGCACCAGCAGCCTCCGGGAGCTCCGGGAAAGGGGTGAGGAAACCTGCGATGCCCACGGAAACCACCCGTGCATGGGGACACCCCCAGGGCTGCAGGGAGCCTCCGAGAACCCCGGGACTGGCAAAGCTCATCTCCAAACTCCTTGCCCAGCGCAACAGAGAGAGCAGACAGCCCCAGAACAGGCGCCAACTAGTCACGCCAAATTACTTAGGTATCGGGAAAATTTATGCTTTGAAGTATTGACATATTCCCTTGGTTTCACTCACAATAACCATGCAGCCAAACATCTCTCTCTTTTTTCTCTCTTTTTTTTTTTCTCTCTCTCTCTTTTTTTGTAGCTCCCATCTCCCTGTCTTTGTAAATCCTACTGAATAGTAAGCTTGTGAAAGATGAATGAAATCACTTCTGGGAATTATATGTGCAGGAGAAGCAGCTACTGTGTCCATTATAAAACCAAACGGAAAAATCTGTTTGTGGAGAATTCCACTCTGGTTCCTCAAAAAATCCCTCACTGCAAAAATGTGAAAGACTTCAATGGCTGTTAAAAACTTGCATGGTAAGTTTAACATGCAGAGCAGTAAAAATCCATCTTAATGAATCTGGGTGCCTGGAATCTGGATCTCAGTCAAAATTACCTTTTGAAAAATATTCCTTATTTGTAAAATAGAAGGACTACATTTGAGTGGTCTTGTGCCTTTGATCYGTACCACTTAGATAACGATGAGCAATGTACAACTACAATGGCTTTCCTGATATTAATGCAAATGAAGGTTTAATTAACCAAACACTTCCTTGAGGACATTAGTCTTGCTAACGTTATATGTAAGTGGCCTAGAGTACCTGTTCAGCACAACATATCTTTATTGTACAAGCAAAATCTGTTTGCCTAAAAAGCAGCATATAGGATTAGAAAAAAATGGTGTCTGCATTTTTAAATTAGTTTTATATCGTTTGCTTGCATTGCCAATTACTTTAAAAATCATAGAAATAAAGTAAAAATAGCAGATGCAGAGTTGTTTTAAATGAAACATACTGGATCCTAGCAATCCATTTCAAAGTATCATATAAAAAATCTGGTATAACTTTTTACTTCCCTATGCTTTGATGAACTGCTAATTGACTTCATCTCTGAGGTCACATAAGGTCATAAGAAAATCAACTGAGTGTAGTACTTCAGCCAGATCCATTTGCACACAAAGTTGATGGCACTCGCCTCTGGAGTAACCAGATCTGCCCACTACTTACAAGCGTGTTTGTCAAGAGCTCACTTAAGCTAACTAACATAAATTAATGGGAAAAAGCCCACCTAGGAAACAGATTTTGAAAGAACTAGCTGGAGCACTAGCGACTCAGCATTTCCACATGCAAAGAGCAGGAATAAAAATTAAAGAAAATAGAGTGGAAATAAACAGTACTGTATATTGTGTTAATACAGCCCTTGTATGGAAGTTATACCCTTCAGTGACCTTCTAGCACTGTATCAGCTTGCTACATGCATGTCTTCATGGTCCAAACATGTGTGAAAGAGACCATTCGTCTACAGAAGGATGGATTTCTTTTGGTTGTCGCTGGAACCGGGACAGCAGACATGTATATTTGCCACATTGCAAATAAAAAAATTACTTGAACATAAATCACATAAAAGTACAAAAGCTTTGATAAGTCCAGGGTAAAATTTACCATAAGGCTATATAATAAATGATGAGATCTTCCACACATGCTTTTGGTGCCCAGCACGAGCCAAAAGCAGTGCAAAAAAAGCTTACATGTGAAAAATTAATATAAATAAGGTGGGTTCATGATGATTACTTAAAAGAAGGAAATGTAAAAAGAAAGAAAAGATGGTTCAGAAAAAAAGGGGCATCCTGCYAAACATATTAGAGATATAAAACATGAACTCGGTAAAAGGTGGGAAAAGAAAGATGGACTGTGATAAAATACAAAAGAACAAATACAAACAGATGGACAAAGACACAGGTCCACTGAGGAATCTGGTACGAGGTTTGCTACTAGATTTATAGGTCACTCTCTCAGACGTTTGGTGGAAAACCGTCCAGCCTGCAAATGAATATAAAGGGAAGAAAACAAAGACACTTATAAAGTACAGGTAGCTGTGATCAGATGTCCTATACCATCAGTCAAATCAGCTTTGTTAGTTAAACATCCACATCTCCCTTTTAACTTTGCCAAAGAGGAGTAAGTTAATTGACCATAGACAAAGGATGCAATAACAGCAGAAGAGGACAGATAGGTATTTTGCAGATTAGTTTGGCAGGATGTGCAATGAGAGGAAGGTATTTTAATCATCATTATAACTTCCAATACACGTGGCAACACGATCAGTGAAAGCCTGCGGAGGTGTGCGCTGCACAGGAGCATCAGGAGCCAGGCCTGGGGCACGCAGCCCACCTACCACCCTACAGGCATTTACTGGGGGTGTCAGGGTCCTGCGTGACCTCAGCCCCCTAGACAATGCAAACATGATTTGGTCTTCTGCAATTTTCCATCCCTGAGATGGGTCGATACTTTAGAATGAGGAACTTGGGGTCTACCAAAATCAAGGGGCTAAAAAAAATCAAAATGAACCAAGGGGAATCAGCTCCTGTCCTTCCGCATCTCCCCCTCCCACAAATCCAGAAGGCAGGCTCCAGAAAAGGTGCCAGTGCAGAGTCACTGCTGGCTCAAATAAAGCCTATTCCCTTCCTAAAGACTCGTATGCCTTCGTGGCTGTTGACTCTTAACATTTTTTAAGATACTTTATTTTGTTCTTCTGACAATACTGCAATGATATTTTTAAAGACAAGCCAGTACTTTAGGCTGCCAAAGGCTCGTGTTTTTATACTGCTAGAAGTGCAATCCACTCCTAAAAGTTCAAGCATAAGGGAAGCAAACTAATTTTAGCATGTGCTGGAAGACATGCTGAACAGTCGGTATGAAAAACTCACCTTGGCCAGAGCTCGCGTTCCCGTCACCTCCGTCGGGGCCTAAGCCGGAGCAGATGTCAGAGGACAAAGAGGCTTTGACAGAGCAGGGCTGCTGCGTCTGAACCGGCTTCCCGAGCGCGGCCGACGCAGGCGCCGCTGCCGCCCTCTCCGGGCATCCCGGCTCACTTTTAGCTATTTCTCTGTGGGGAGAGTCCTTAGATTCTGACATATTACCTGAAAGAACAAGAGCGAAACACATGCATGCAATGGCAAGTGCTAGAAAATCAGTGTCTAAAAATAATCATTAATTCATCACCAAGAGGAAATGCAGTTCAAAATTCTCACGCACAAGCAGAGATTTTAAGGGTAACTTGCACTAGGAAATAATGTTTGCTTACTATCACTGATCCAGATTCTCCAAGAAGCTATGAATTTGTTTTTTTTTTTTTTAAACAGTTTTTCTACTTTTATTTATTTATTTTTTAAATGGAAGGTTGAGTTGGGAACTCAGAAAGAGCACTGTTTAAAGGAGTGAGACTTGCAGAAGTGCCCTATTAGGAGAATGAAGGTACAGAATGGTGGAGGAGAATCGCTAGGGTCACACTCAGATGCATAATGTGAATGGAAGCAAATGCTGCAAAGACAAGAATTTTTATCTGTATCTAGCTATAGAGCTTTATTTATATATCTATATTTCTCTCTATATAAGAATATATATCTGTATTGACATAGCTGTCTGTATGTCTAAGGTGAACAGGTTTTAACACCAAAATAATTTTGAAATTTATTGGTGATATGGGTTATCAGCAACAATTAGTTAACAGGGGGAATGACACTTAGCRTACATCTATAGTCAAATCAGAGACTGCCTGTCCTTGACACCTGAGAAAGGACCTAGAAAAGCCAGAACTGGAGGAATCTGAGTAATGTGAGACTTGGGCATTAACAGAGGCTCCCAGAGACCACAGGAACTTTACACAACACCTCAGAACCGGGGGTGTCGCACAGAGCACACGTATGAAGGGAGCATGCACCAAGGAAGCATTCTGACCGAGCAGATTTCTGTCCTCTAACTGAAGGTGACGATGGAAACACAGCGGAGAGGCAGGGCACGTTATGCACGGACAAGCTTGATCTGTTTGGAAAGGAAGGCAGCACACAGGTGTGAGCTAGGACAGATCCGYGAGCGGACACAGAGACAGCACTGAGGACACAGAAGGGAAAGGCTAGCCACAACCCAAGAACAAACTGGAAAATAGATGGACATTGGATTAGAGACATTCAAATATCTCATCACAAGGAAAGGAGGCAAAACCCATACAGGACAGCCAAGTCGCTGCTAAAAACATAGGATACAAGAAAAAAATCTTATTCAAGAGAATGACATTATCAAAAATAAAGGCACAACTGGTGATKTAATTTTTTAGTGTGATAAATGGTATCACTTAGGTTAGTTATACATTTTAAACTTACTAATCCAGTGCCATTCTGAGTTTTCATTTAATTGCTTGAATATTGCTTCTCCTTCTATATGAAAGAATATTGAAATTCAAGGTGTCTCACAGAATGCCTTGCCTCCCTGTCCTAACTGAAATCATTAAAAGTAAAACATTGTAAACCTCCCCATCTATAATTAAGACTGATGTAATGAAATTTCATGACGCAGTGGCTTTAAAAACAAGACCYACGAGGTCTGAAATAAAGGATTAATGTTGGGAATACTACTACTATTCTAAATAACGGAATGAACTCAGCTGAAAAAAAATTTATTCTGCATCCTGCAGAAGAACTAGTCACTAGGGTTTATCAAGTTTTCCCATGTGTGCTGTCTCTTCATGCTTTTAATGACTCAAGACTGTCATTCTGCTTTAAATGAGTAGTGAAAAATCTCAGCATATTTCTGATGGTCAAGGCTTCCATCTCCCCCGTGCAACTGCTTCTGCTGCCACCCTTGCGGGAGGACGCAGAGCAAGTGCAGCCCAACCTTATTTATAGGGCACCTTTTAGCAATAGTAAACAGCAGCACACAATCAATATGGAATAGCATTACCTAAGAAGTGAATACACATATCAATAAACTGTATTTGGAGGAAGGATGAGAAAATGTACGCAGGCTGTATTCCAAATTAAAGTGGGATGCTGTTTCCCTGCCAAGCATTATAACTGATGCAGAGAAGATATGAATCAGCACTAGGCAGCTGTAATAAGATGGTCTCATAGGAAGCCCACTTCAAAACCAGCCCATAATACGCAAACTTGAGTCATAGGAATAAAAGCAATAAAGGTTCAGTACCTCTCCTGCAGTCCGTGCAGTTACACGGCAGAACCACAACACACACAAACAACAGGGCTAGGGAGAGCAACCTAATGCACCTACTTGTGCTTGATGTGCCACTCCTGAGCTGCTGAACCAGAGGGTTTAATAGTTTTCCACCTTTCAACTTATTTTTGCTGGTTCTTCGGCGGCGGCCGCTTGGTGGGGCTGAGTGCAGAAAGCCCATGTTGGGAGGCAGGGGTTTCCCTAAGCGGAGGTACAGCGCCTCTATCTCGTTCTTCTGCTGAGTCTGCAGTTCCGCAATTTCCTTCATATGCCTAAGTTAAAACAAACAAACAAGCAGAAAGAAACAAAACCCACAGAACCCTGTGCCTGCAGCATTGCTGGTAACGCACTGTGTGATGCTGGTATGCTAAGCTATGAGCAGAAAGCAMACTTTCTTCTGTTTTACAGCAAGTCGCCGCTCAGCCAAGGGCGGGCACAGCTGGAGCTGTTTGTAACGACCAGCTTGGAGAAGGGTCAACATGAGAAAAACAGAAGGGCTTGCACAGAATGACATTAGGACCTGGACTGTCACCTTATGTATCGTGCAGATTGAACAGTGCCATAAAGTCAACTCAAAACCACAACTACAACCATACAAAAACAGGTGCACCATCTGTTTTCAGTAAAGGCATTACCTAAATTTAAGCGACATTTTGGTAAGAGTGCAGTCTATTGCTAGTTTCTCCTCATCACGTGCGAGGAAGAAAGAACTCCTCCAACACGGAAGGCCTAGCTCTGGGGAGCAGCAGCGGGAAGGTTCCGCCAGGCTCTCCGGCCTCCCTCCGGCAGCACCCGGGAGCGGGTGGGAGGTGACACGAGCGCTTCAACCTCGCACCGGTGGAGCCAGCACCAGCTTAACGTGGCTGCAGGGACAGAGACGGGAGTGCAGATCTGACAGTCTGAAGCACTCTTGTGGGGAAGGACCAGAAAGGACACTAGAAGAGCTGTCTACACATACAGATTCTTTTTATGCAGACCTAAATAGCATCCAGACTGGAAGCTAATACTATATACGAACATATAACAAGTGTTAAGGCTTGCTCCCAATCAACATACTTATCAGTAAGGAAACCAAACAGGAAAGTGCAACTAAATTGGTTAGAAGAAAATGTTATTTTGATTCTACTTATAAAAGGAATTAAGTAATAAGATGATGCATAAGATAAKGCAGTGTGCCATTTGGGGTAAGGTGCTAGCCCCTGTTCACTCAGTACTGCTATTTACTAACACATGCATTAWCTTAGCACACGTGGAGATGCTCTGCAAGTATCTTAACACAAGCTACCCTTGCACTGTCCACAAATCCAACATACTTTTCTCTCAGATTCTGCAATTCTTTCTTCATATCTGCATCTTCAAATTCTGAATCATTGTCACTGCTCATGTAGGACGACTGYGAGTGGAAAGATGTTATGTTGATGGTGGGAATTTTCGCTCCCTGACCATTAGGTGAATCAAGGCCTTGCGAAGCCGGTTTCCCAGATCTTTGCAGAAAAGCAGCTGCTTTTTTAATTAAGTCAGTGGCCGCACTGGCGCTCGGCGGGGACGGCTGAGCAGCCGGGGGCTCCCTGCGCAAAGGCTCGTCGGCAGAATCGCTCGAGCCCTGCTCGCAGAGGACGTCGACGGAGGAGGCCGTCTGCACGCGGCGCACGGCAGCCTGCAGCTCCGGGCTCGAAGGCAGCGCGTCCAGGTAGACGTCCGGGGGCGCCGAGAACCTCAGGCAGTGCGGCGATGCTAAGGTTAATTCATCCTGTGTGCTGATCACTGAAAACCTGCCAATGGTTTTGGCTGGTGTGCTGCTGCCGTGAGCCTCAGCCTGTTTTCCATAGGAACCAGAGTCTGGAGAGTCATCCCTTTGAAGGTTATTTCTCACCCCATCTGCTGTAGAGATCTGCATTAAATTATCTGTGTGCGCAGATGAAGTTGTGGTCTTTGCCTTCTCRTTCCTTTTAGAAGTTTCCATCTGGGTGGCTCCACTTGGTGACGGAGCTGCAATCTGCAGAGAATAATGGAGATTAACTTTGATAGTAACTATTACAATTAAACTAAAAAATTGTTCTTAGTAGTTTCTGGTTACCTGAAGGAGACCTTTTGCTGCAGCAGCAGGGGCTGATATGATGCTTGCAGATGAACCTGGTTTATAATTTTGGAGAGAAAAAAAAAAAAAGAAAGAAAATCACAAAATTGCATGTGGGAAAAAAAGGGAAAAAGCCAATGACTTTATACTGGTATACCACATGGCAATAAAGTGTAGCACTCAGGAATTACTTAAATATCAAGTCACTCTAACATTGGACTTGGTAAACTTTTTTTTTTTTAATGCAGTGAGCAATAATGATAACATGAAGCATCCACAAGAAGGCACTCTGTTCAGTCTATTTATTCTATTGATTTGGGCAATCCAAATAATAGTTGGGGAGTGAAATTTCATTAGAAGATTGAAAAATCTTAGTGAGAAAAAYAAAAGTAGAATGATAACTGATTAGATGTATCACTACATCTGCAGGGTATATTGGGTTCACATCACTAAGGTCTTCTTAATATCTGGAAAAAAAAYTGCACCAAGATATCGATGCCCGCGAAGTTCTACGCTGACCATGAACAGACCTATTTCATGCCTTTCATTTGACATATTCCTAGACCAACATCACACAGCTATAAGCGGAAATTATCAGCTCAGAAAATGACCACTGGGACCACAAACACACATGAAAGGTAAAACACTTCTGCCAAAGTTGAGGAAAATATTTAATAAATTGGATTTTTTTTTTTTTTTTTTTAATAAAGTCGAATGCATGCAAATGCCTTTCAGAAAGCTATTTTCTTATGGCACATTACATGGAGTGAACATAAGGCACAAATCTGTCACTTCATAGCTCTGGAATGGTGAAATACGTTAACTGCTTTATGGTATCTAAGCTGCATTAATTTTAATACACAGTGCTACATTTTACTCATATATTTTCTCCTTTTAGTGAGACACAGAAATGTGAAAAACCCAGGCAGAGTTGTCATCTCATATTGGCTTAAAAGCAGAGGACTCCAATGCCACAAATGGCCTTTTGACAATTCACACCACTTAAAGCCCTTTCCTTACCCTGCAGAAATGGCATTTTGCGCAGTTGGAGGGATGCAGAGAATTATCCTCCAGCCAGCAAGGCCAGTGGGATCCTGCAGGCTGCCCTGATCTCCCAGCATAGGGTCAGGCAAAGAGCCRCAGGAAAGGCAGGTTTTCCCGAAAGGAGGCCGGACGTCCCACACCTGTGACCAGGGTTGGACACGGCGCACTGGTCGGCCCTGGTGCGGAGCAGCCTCGCAGGGCAGCAAGGGCCRGCGCTCCGGCCTCCAGGGACATACGAGCTCGGAGCGCTCCAGATCCACCTGCGTTCGCACCTGGTATCCATCTATCCACGTCATCACTCCTTTAGGAATGACATCCGAAAGGAATGACAACCTCCCATGTGACAGCGGCAGCAGAGTTGCAGGTTCCTCAATCTTTAGGACTTCCATGACTTGCACAAGGGGTTAATGGGGGTTAATTACCCCTCCTACACCATTTCTTGTGACAACTGCAAGTACGTTAGTGTGGAAAAGAGCCACTGGATCTACAAGCACCCYAAGAAAAGGGCTCCCCTCCATCACATTACTCCTGTCAATTCCATTTCACAGAGTTCAGAAAATGCACGTGACTTTCYATTCATGCTTTTTAATGGCACTGGAAAAAATACTATTCAAAGTGTGGTGGTCTGTGCGACTACCCTATGCTAAAGGCCATGAAGACACATATATTACTTCTTCATGTTTTAAAATAAATCTGCCTAGGAGGCAGTTTAGTGCTGGTAAGGTGGACTAAAGCGAGAGATTCAATATTTGTTGTAAGAGATGCACCAACGCACTGTGCTGAGCACCAGCCTGCAGCTAACCCGAAGGGCGAGCAGAGGAGCAGCAGGCACTGCTGTTATCGTGTCATGCTACAGTTCATCACCAAAACCAGCGTTACCTTTTCTGCTTGCTGACCCACCTCTTGCTTCTGAGGAATCAACAGCGGTGCCAGCGACCCCAGACTTCTCCAGCTTTCAGGAAAAGGAAAGAAGAAAACAAATGTCAGTCTCAAATGCACAAAGCAGTCTCAGTGCCTGCAATCACACTACGTAGGATATGAAACTCTAACAGTGCCTGCAGAGTTTGCCTCCTGGTTTCTCCTTCAACTCTTTCTTCTAAATTACTACACTACCAAAAAAAAAAAAAAAGAAAAGAAAAAAAAATCACTGCCTTCTTTATAAACAGAAGGAAAATGAATCAGATGTCATAGCAATTTTATACTCAGAAGCAAAATTCAGCTTTCACAAGTAAGCATTTATGTAAAATGAGTCAGGGGGCACCTGGCAAGGTAAGAATTAGGAAAACTTTCATGCTCGAAAGCAGCAGAGAAAGGACAATACACACCAGGGAGCAGAAAAGGGGACTGTTSAGGGATGCAAGCAGTCCTCCCACAGCCTCCCTGCCCCTCAGCTCTGCGCTGGGACTCCGTGCACGGCTGCTCTGCAGGGTGTGAAGGGAGGACTCACCAGCGCGGGGCAGGGCGAGCTCCTCGACGGCACAGGCGGCACGAGTTGGCTCTCAGCAGCACTCGCTTCCTGGCAGGTCTCTGCAGCTTTATGGGCCGGTTCTCTTAGACCCAACGCCAGCGTGGGAACTTGATCTTCGGCAAGAGGCGGCAAGTTGAACTCRCTGTCCCCCTGTTCCGAAGGGACGAAACTGTCTGGAGTCCCCGCCGACGCCGAAGAAGTGGGAACGTATTCCTGGTAAAGCAAGTTGCGCAGCTTCTCGTCGAGGCTTTTTATGGTGTTGTCCACGAAGTCGAGGCGGGGCGGCCCCTCGCCGTCGGACTCGGCGGCGCAGGGCGGCTGCTGGGGCAGCAGCGCGGCGGGGCAGCTCGCCGCCGGGCCCTGCGGCGGCAGCACGTGCTGCGGCGGCGGCACCGCCAGCACCGCCTGCGTGGGGCTCTGCAGCTGCGAGCCCGCCAGGCCCAGCGGCTCGGCGGCCAGCGCCGCGGGGAACGCGGGGCCGGCGAAGGCGGGCGCCGCGGCCCCGGGCTGGCCGCCCTCGGGTAGCTGCGGCACTTGTGCCGCGGGCTGCCGCTCCAGCACCGCGCTCTCCGGCAGCGCGGGGAGCGCGCACAGCTCCGCGGCCGCCGCCTTGGGCGGCCCCACGCTGCAGCAGGCGATCTCCACCTCGGGCACGCACAGCCCCTCGTCCGGCGGGGGCAGCTGGGCCTCGGGGGGCTCCTCCGGCTGCGGCGCGCGCAGGGCGGCCGCCGCGGGCGGCTCCGGGACGCCGGGAGCGGGAGGCTCTGCCGGGCCCTGCGCGGCGGGCGCGGGCACCGCGGCAGGAGCCGGCGCCAGGGACGGTGCGGCACCCGCGGGGCTGTCGCACATGCCCACGTGGAGAGGGAGCTGCTGGCCCGGCAGGACACCCGGCGCCTCCGGCGCCACCGGGATCGCTGGCTGGTCGTCCGGCTGCTCCGCGTCTAGAAGGCACACGAGCGTCAGCTTAACTTTTTGCAGAGAGAAAGTCAGTGGCTGCAAAACTTCCCGGGCATTTAAACACAGGGACCCACATCCAGCTTTAACTGACAGTGGTTTCCTCTCAGAAAATCACCAATATACAGTTAACTTCGAACCTTACATTGCAGGCTATACGGAAATATCTCACTGAAAAGCCATTGCTTATTGAACAGCAGTGACCGTGAACTTGAGCTGCCTGGCAGAATAGGTACAGTTCTAAAATATCTGGACTTCCCTGTAACTCAAGCTCCATACCATGCACTCACTTAAAATGCTTGGCTCATATTTGACATGGAAGATATCTGTGCTCATTTTGAGTGGCAACTTTTACACAATGAATAAAAACTTCACTTATAAATAACTCGGTTTCAGCACTTCAACRAACACAGGTGGATTCTTCCAATTATGTGAAATCCCTGGCACAAAAGTTTTTACTTTTTAAATAAATATAGTAGGACCTAGGCTTCATAAAGCATACTAATTTTTAAGATGAGGAAGAGGTGATTTTCTAGAACTCAGGAGTTTTTCCTCATTGTTTCGACATTAGGGGTCAATAAGTGTAGCTCTAGGTCAAGGCAGGACTTCTTCCTGCCTTCCTCCACCCGCCATAGTGAAAGAGTTTTTTTTTTGTTTGTTTGTTTGTTTTTTGGCATACACTATGATCTATTAGCTACCAATTAAATATCAGGGAGCAGCAGTACAGCATAACTGCCATAGCCCAGAACTGGAAGATCATGGGAGAATAAAAGAGAGATGACAGCATCTTCTGAGAAACGATATCTTCTGAAAAATGTAATGATCCTAAATACCTGGGCCTTCAGACTGCTGTGTGCTTGGAGGAACTGGTGGAGAAAACTCTGGTGCATCAGTAGCRGGATTTTCCACAACAGGACATATAATAAACCACCTTTTTCCAGTATGCAAAACTAGAGAGGAAAAGAAAATGTTAACACGATAGTTTGTATTCAATTCCCATCACCCGTTGAAACCTAGTCTTAATTCCATATTCAAAGAGAAAACCAGAATCTCTATAGTATTAACTGACATTAAAACAATGGCTCCTATTTGAATGTCATCCTAAAGAAGCTGCCTTTTGGAAGAGGTATAATGATTCCCCCTTCCAGAAWGGAAGGGACATTCTGGTTCTGCTACATACTTTGAGTAAGTTGCTTGAAAATTAATTTTCAAGTGTTCATTCTTTTAGAAAGATTAAAATTACTTACATGAWTTTTTTATTGCAAGTATTATAGACAGTTTTCTCACAATGGAAAAAAAATTCATTTTGTAAAGTTCACCTCACTGAATTTTTCTATGTAGGAAGTTTTACAGCTATTTCCTTCCAAGTCTCATCTCAAGGTCTGGCATATGTAATTAGTAAACTATACACACTTTGTAACCTCTATAGTATCCATATAAATGATATGTAAAAATTGTGTGCTGAGAAATTATGACTTCAATCAGCAATCATTTTAGGTCTTTTGAGTTGAAAATCCTCTTTGGAAGGATCACAGTTTCTTAACTTGCCAGAATTTGGAATTATCCATCTTCCTCTACAAACAYGGAGAAACACACAACACTGCACTCAGCAACACGAGATTTTGCAACAAGGCTTTCTCCAACACAAGTTTATCTTTTCTTTCCACCAGTATACTAAAAGCCATACTAATAAGCACCTAATTCTATGTCCTTCCCTTTATCTGCGAAACCAGGAGATACACTCAGGTTCAGAAGGCCAAGATTAGTTCAGGTAATACAGAGGCAGCTGAAATGTTTGGAGGAGAAAATTCAATGAGATTACCAACAGCARCGCAATCTTTCAGCTCCCTTTTGCAAACGTAGTTATCGCTGCAAGGCACAACTACCTGACTATGTTTGCCTACACTTCTTCAGCGTTTCCACCTTTCATTGCAACTTGTGCAATTCAGCAGTTCCCTACAGATGCCCATAGGGCAGTTTGATCTCAGCTAGGCCAGCAGTCCTTCCTGAAGGTTGCTAATAGCAGAGATTGCTGCTACAGCCATAAATTCTAGATATTTTCCCAATCACTGGTATTTAGTGGATTACTTCCTCTCTATAGCAAAYATTTGGATAATGAACTCAAAATTAAGTTTGTATTCAAAAGGTACTTTTACCGTTTTGCTGGTACACGGGTGTCTTCACCTGAGACTGCCGCTTTTCCTGTTAAAATACAGAAACAAGACAGAGGAACCAGGCTTTTTGGTATCAATGCAATGGAGYATTATTCCACAGAATACTCGTATTGCAAGCCTCAGTGGAGGAAAAGCATTACTTTTCTTGCTAAGAAGTCTTCTATAACACAGGATGCAAAACTAACCTACAGCAAGCATATATTGCAAAAAAAAGAAAAAAAAAAAAGGATTAAAACTCTATAAAACTCTATTTCATGCTACTTACTTCACTCACTTCCATTCTATCGGTATCTTGTTGGGGACTCGTCCCCTGATCAGAACTTCGTTCTCCTTCTGTATCTTCACTGAGCATGTCTTCTGCTTTATCAATAATATCTTTCATTTGTTCAATAAATGTCTCTTTTTCACTCTGCAAGATGAATTCATTCTCCACCTATAAGAATACATACAGAGCAAAACAATAATGTTTTGTTTAAGACGCAGTTACCCCAAAGCATGCAACAAGAGCACGCTGAGAGGAAGCTGGTGGAAGCTATTCGCTGCATTTCCGACTTTGGGGAGCTGCATTGCCAAGTCTTACCATGTAAGTAGCAATTTCCTCTGGYGCGTCACCATCCAAATCAAACTTGAAAGTCACCATTTTGTGATTATGTGTTTCAAGCTGACACTCGACCATCTTATCCCCYGTATTACACACCTGCAGGCAAAGAATAACAGTGAGCCCTTCTGGCACAACCAAACCAACTCCCAAGACACCCTCAGAGAGGCTCTACTTGCATTTAATATGGTCAGTTTTGGTCTGCTGGTCTTCTCYTGCCGTGAACGAGCACGGGTAGATTTCTTATGCTTCTTGGAAGGCTTTCCTTCTTGTTTTCCACTTCCTATCGCTCCTTCAAAGCTGTCGCTCATTTCTTTACCTGAAGCAACATCTGGACTCATGTAGCTTTACAGTGGAAAAGAGGAAAACAAACAAAAAACATACCAAAAAATGGTGTTATACAAAGATAAGATACAGAAAAGCAGAGGCTGCAAGGAAATTGCACGTCTGTATGTCTGGCCTGAATTACGACAGCCACTGAAATACATTTAGTAAGGAAACAACTATTCCAAATCAGGCACCTATGCTGGCTATCACTGCTAATCAGAAATAATCTATATTTTTTTCTGTTAATAATAGTGAAAGATTGGTTACTTTTAATACATCCCTACATTCCCCAAGCCCCTTTCCTTGGAGATTAAGCCTTAGAGTTCCTATCCCAACTTCAAGGATTCCTTCACATTTTTCCACGGCACAGTTTATCCAGTTCTCTTTTGCCCACTCTCACAGCAGAAAGTCTAAATGTGGTCAGTGTCTTGGTTTCCTTGATGAAGGAAAGGAACGATTTGTCCACACAGCCCAAATTCCCATGTCTCCTGTCTCTGCAGTTCTCAAGGATGTGAAAGAGCACATTACACCACGATATCCCAGATGACCAATGTCCCAGCTAGTGACAGCAGAATATTGCTAGCAACCTAAGCACTAGCTCCTAACCTTATTGTAATACGACATGTACAGAAAAAGCTTGCACGTCATCTGAGAAGTTGAAGGAAACGTTCGGAGATGCATAATGGAAATGGCAAGAAGAAACCTTCTAAGGTCATCTTTTTCCCTCACTGAAGCCAAAGACCAGGCTTCTGGCTTATCTACTGTAAAGASTGAGGGGAAGAACAGCCTTTGGAAAGGAAAATTTCGTATGCCAAAGAGATTATAATGATACCTTTCACAGCTCTGTGACAGTGCCTGAAGTTTATCCTGTATTGCCTGCTCCTAAAGTATAAAAGAAAAGTCATTTAGGCAGATGCATTACATATGCACATGTAAAATACCTTTAAACAAGTTTTTTATTACTAAGGGATCAGTAATGTTAAACCATTGTGCTTAACATAGTCTCAGAATATGAAAATGTCCCATTTTACCTTCCTCAGTATCACACCTGTGCACAGCATCAGCATCTACACACAACTGCTCTTAAGACAGAGCTCACTGAGCAGTCAGTTCCCTTCTGCTACCCCGCAAGCAGGCAACAGGGTGAAAAACACAGAGCAGGTCCTTCCCACGACAGAGCAACGCCCTGCCTGAAACCACGTACCAGCGCCTACCTGATCGGCTTTCTTTTTCTGGCTGCATGTAACGTGCAAACTAATTTGCTTTGCTATTTCTAATAGTTTCCTGAAATAAAATAATTTCAGTGTATTTAACTCGCTGAGAAAAATATTTTATGAACACATAAATGAAAAAGACTGTTATTTACAAACACRGCCTTTATGCCATTTTCTCTTGCTTTCTACAATAGAAGCTGTCCACAACAGCTTCCTTCCTCACCAACTGCAGTGCTAGGACAGACATCATTGCACTTTCTCATTGGATAGACCTGTTATCACAGAATTTGACGTGATGCTACTATCACCACAGACACATGTATATGTGTACACACATAAATACAAACATACTTGTAAAAACATATACACACACATATATAAAAAATATATACTTTTTTTATATATATATATAATATATATATATAAAAATCTCACCATTACTTACAGTTAGAAACCAGACCCTTGACTGTTACCAGCACATATTAATACCAAAACAATCTGCAGACGTAAAAGCTTCGCATCTTACAAGTCRACACTACTTACGGCTCACACCACCACATTCATGCCATGCTGGACATGACTGCAATTGCCACAGACTGGCAATATTAATGAACACTGAGAACACAGACATAATGTATCTAAGACATTAGTAATGCACTTGATCAAGGGTCTTACAAAATCTCATTTGCCCGATCAATTCATATTGATTTGGATATGAGTATTGCCACATGGTCAAACAAAACACAGAGATAAGAATGGTATGGCAGAGCAGCAATGAAACACAGTGTTTTGAATATATACAGACATGAAACTCTTCTTATACCCAAGAAAACCTTAGCAATATATGCCATAAAAAGCAAGACAGCTTGACCTTCAAATGAAGRGTCAACTTTTGAAGCTTATGCTTTTTTTTTTGTGCAAAAACAAGCTGTAACAGTTAACACTTAAGGTCCATTACAGCTACAGGATTCCTGTTTCTCATATAACAGAGGGGCAGCAGAGGACACCACCTGCACTCCCCAGGGGCTTGGGTCTCATCAGAGATTTTGCAGGTGTGAGTAGGGGAAAAAGAGGCTTCAAATATATCTGGCCACCTTGCTCAAATCATCAGGCTTTTTCCACTAAACACCTTTTCTTCATCAGTCTAAGAGGATCAAAGAATGGTTTTGGATTGATTTCATAAATTGAATGAAAGTAGTTAACCCACARATGAAACATGAGAATGAAGTTAAAGAAACAGTGGTTAAATGTTTGTAGGCATTTGATAAAATGACAGGGACAGACACACGCCTCAGAGTGCACCAATTTCTTGGGTAACACATGACAACTTGTATCCTCCATACCATACCGCACCAGAGCAAAGAGGTTTACACAGATTTCCTAGGAGGATGAACCCTCCAGCCCAGGCTGCAGCTTTGACTCTGGCACTAGACTGAGCACAGAGACAAGGCAGGTTAAAGGAGAGATGCCTGGAGTAAGGTGTCTCACACACTTGATACCACAAAGCTTACCCAGGGATTCTGCAAACAAAGCACCACGAGCTAGTTCTCCTGTTTCTGCTACCTCTACCTAACCTACAGGACACAGAAACTCAYCAGGCTGAAGGGAATATCCTAAATCACAGTGTGAACAGTTTGTGACAAGAACTAGGCTGCCGCTTGCCAGCACAACAGGCAACTTGGAGAAATGCAGTTTGGTGTCAGCACCATTATTAGCATTCCTGGAGAAGGAATTCAGCTGTACATCTATGGGCTGTATGGTGTATGTATGGGAGAATATACCAATGTGTAAAAGCACAGGCAAGAAGAGATTCATTTTGAAAAGACGGGATTTGTTACTCTGCAAGGGAAGGCATTTCAGAGCACAGAGCCTCAGGAGGAAGCTGAAGCCTGACAGCAGCTTTGTGAAGGGCACTGCTGTACAGAGCGGAGAGGGAGCCAGGCGTATGTACTAAAATCTGGCACAAATGCCAAAACCTTTGGTTTGCTTTTTTCCTGAATACCTATGACAGAAACAAAGAGAAGGAAACATTCTGTAACATCTGTCAAGAATGAAGTTTAGACAGTTATGGAAGTGGAAAGAAAAGTCAAAATAGCAGACAGGAGGAGCCAAATGTTCTACTAGAAYTACAGTTAAATGTAACTTGCTTATRTAACCACCAAGAATTGGTAACGTCTAGAAACTTTTGAAGAAACAAAAATCCCAGGACTAGACTTGAATTCAGGCAGTACGGGAGGATACAATGCTAAATGAAATGTGAATAAGGCTCAAGCAGAAGAGCATGAAGAGTTCTCGCATATGAAATTGTTTCTTAAGGCAAATGATCGTAGCACAATTGCTTGATACATTAAAACATTTAAAACAAGACTGCACAAAACACGGATGAGGTTCTGTCCATAAGATAGWTCTGTACTGTGCACGGCACTTACAGAACGTAACTTCTATTTCTGCTTTTATTTGTGCTCAAGTATGGACAAAGATGCATTTGGTAGMTGACTTGACCCGACTCGCCATTTCTTCAAGGGGACATTTCTCAAGAAGAYACAACATTTAGTTTCCAGTTTCATCTGAAATAGCCAATTATTTACCAACACAGAACTGTTAGGATCTAGGACAAGCTGTTCTATACCACGGGCATGGCTAATCTACCTTATGAAATAAGCCTGTGACCATAAGCAGAGGAAACAGCTCTACCTCTTGAGATGACTCTGCAATTGCCTGGGCTGCTGAGCAGGGCACTGGAAGCTGCTGACCCAGATGCTGGGACAGGTCTGGCTGGAGCTGCAGGAGACCCGAAGGCTGCGGAGGCAGACAGGGATCTSCGGGCACGGGCGGACTTGCTGTAGCAAGGCTGCCATGCACCTGTGAAACGCTTTCTGGAGCGACGCAGGGCGGCAAGAGCTCAGGCTGCAACTGCAAAGGTGGTGACATGACTATCGAAGGCTGCACGGGCAGTACAGGCACCTGGGCTCCAGTTTCCAGAGCAAACTGAGAGTGTCCAGTCATCTGCTGTAACACAATAGACACCTATTAAAACAAATCTCTGCTTGGAGCRCTTGTGACCTACGCTGAGGACAAGGCACTGTAGCTCACAGAAACAAAAGATTATCATTGTGCAGTGAGAGTGTGTCTGTGTGAAYTCCGATTGGAAGGAAGCTACTCAGAGCTGAAATTTGCTTCAAAACAATGAAATGCAAACACAGTATTCCTAGTTAACTTTGAAAATGTGTATTGCTGCAGTATTGTTAACTAGGAGAAACTAAACCAAATTGTGCTTAGAAATTATAAACTAAAATCCTAGAGGATGAGCTCATTGTCCTAAGCACTTTGCTCTGTTTTCAATGGGCATATATCAGTGTCCATGCAGAGAAAAGCATACTCTCTACCCATATTCTAAATTGGGACTTTCTATGCTTTAATATATATGTAGAGCCATTAGCTGATATAGATTAAGTTTTTTGTTTGTTTTTGTTTTTTAACAAACACTGAATATATGCTATCATCTTACAAAATATCTTTCATTTGGTTTAAGCATTTAAGATTTTTTTTTTTTTTTTTAATCCCAGTCCAAGGTCTATAGTCTGCAAACACTTCTTGTGGGGTCTTTGTTGATTTCTTTAATGTGTTAAAGTATTTTATTTACCTAACCATTTTGTGGGAACTGGAATGCAACAGTTAGATTCCAAGTACCTCAGAGACTATGTTGCTTTACTGCATTTCTACACTTAAAGAGAAAACATTCTTCTTTTAGCTGCATTAAGGACTGAAATTGTGAGAAAAGAAAGGAAAAAAGGGAAGAAAGGAAAATATGGAAGGAAAAAAGGCTTTCAGAACTAACTCCAACTCTGCATTTTTTACTTGTCTTCACTTAAGATGCAGTATAGCTTGCAACATGTAACAGTTACAAGGCTTCCTAAGTAGGATGCTTAGAGGAACAATTATAGTGTACATTGCARAAGAACAATGATGTAATTTATTTCATCTCGCATAACTAAAATAATTCATAAAATATTTAAATGTATAATTTACCTGGGCAAGACTGAAAACAGGTGCAAGATATCAACTGCAAAAACTCTCCTGGAACTCCTTTACATAAAGTACTTCTCGCTCAGAAGTACTTCAAGGAATAGAAAAGAGCATTTCTGGATATTCTGCATATCTCCATTTTGTTTGTATTAAACATCTCTTATCATAAAAGTATTATGCAACTCTTCCATAAGCATTTGGTAAACAATGCTCATGTCAGCACAGTTTGGGAATACCTGTTCTTCAGGGCTGGTGTTGGCCATGCATGCTGCACACAACTGGCTCCATTCGCTTTCCTCTAAAGCCCTTGGGAACATYGGGACTAACTAGCTCAGTGGTAACAGTATCCAAGTAGCCAAGATTCCAACTTGGCTCTGGCTTTGCAAACAACACATCTGAACCAAATACACAGCTGAAGTCAGAAATCTAAGTGTGATGTACGGTGTTAAAGATACCATGATATGGCTGGTTGAAATGCAATATTATGAATTTCAGTCTACATGTTACAGCAAATTAATGAGGTAGAACACAATTTTTCAAGCAAGCTGTTATTAACAAATTTAGTTCTCGCTCTTGCTTGGCTCGGGCAGTATTTCACAGTATTGCCATATCTCAAATGTGACAATAGAAGTATTTACAGACTGGGTTAACATGTCCTGAACCATTTCTCTTGTAAACAGCGTTAATATCAGAAGCTGCGTTTCATGCTTCTTCTCTCTCTCTCTTTTTTTTTTTTTTCTTTTTTTTTAGGGGGAGAAAAGGTCTGTTCTTGATCGACAGATCTCCCAAGCCGCCTGCTGGAGTCATTATCAAACACAAATCTCCCCTTGCTTCTCAAACTGTTTTCAAGCACGTCTGTATCAATGCAACTGTATCGGGTCTCTCAACCCTGCCAGTGATGCCCATTCTGCATTGGTATATGCATGCATAACGAACATGCCGTCRCATGGACTCTGTGTGTGTTATGGACTAATCTATTCTGCCACTGGGAGATGGGAGCTTACCCCTCCTCTGGAGCTGTCCTCTTGCACTCGAGATGGGAGAATGCAGAGTAAACTCAAGAAAAGCAAGTATCTGCTCACTTCTCAAAGTCCATGAGATCATGGCACACATCCACAAGGTTCACTAGACACAGGCKCAAGCCTTCACCTGCTTCCCTTGAGCTGAGCCCTACCCACCACCTTCAGAACMGAGGTCAAGAAGCCACAGAACATCTCAAGAACCAGAGACACCACTCCTAGTCGGGTGCTTCCCGCAGAGGACGCCCCGGGCCACAACCACCCGACCACCTCTCATCGATGGAGCCCCACGCCAACGCATTACCTGGGTACCAGCGCCAGGCGCAGACAGGGCCTGCTCTGAAGGATGCATGAGGCTGGGCTGGAGCGACTGAGGAGGTGGTGGCTGCGCAGTGGCCTGCGTGTGGTGGGGAGAGGGCGCCTCGCTCGGGACCATCTGCTGGAAGGTGGCCGGGTACATCTGCTGCTGGGAGAGCTGGGACACTGCGTGGTGTGCTGGCAGAGCCGACACTCCCGGCGGAGCCACGGCCAGTAACGGGATGGTGGCGGCCGGCATGTTTGGCACTATGGTTTGGCAGGGCAAGACCAGAGAAGCCACAGTTGTATGAGGAAGGTTCACGGCCTGCATGGGGAGCGCGGGGGAATTGGGCGCCAGAGGCAGAGCGGGGTTCATGGGGAGGCTTGGCAAAATCACGGCCGGAGTGAAATATGGAGAAGGAGCAGGAATGGGGGGCACGTTTGCAGCAGGTATGTCTGAGAGGTTTGGAGGAAGGTTGTCAAGTCCTGCCAGAGGAGTAATTGCAGGAATGACAGGAAACTGAGGAATCTGAAAAAAATATAATATCACATAAATTGCAAGTGCTTTCATTGATGGTACAAAGTAGTTTCAATTGCCATACAAGTAYGTAAGAACCACCAGTGTCATGATGATAATTATGTCTGTCTGTTCATTTCCTGAGCTTTATCAACAGTAACACAAACTCATTCACATGAAAAACATTAGAAAAAAAGGTACCCATTTTTGGGGGGACATTTTCATACCTTAGGAGCTTAGAACTCTTTCTAACACTACTTAAGAGCCATCAAGCAACATATTAACAGAAAAAAAGTTGCTTTCATTTTGACAGAAGAAACAAAAATCAAAGATCAAGAAAAGGCAAAATTCTTTCATGCAAAATTCACTACGACAATTTAAATCCTGTCTTTAACCAGGCAAGCTGCAACCCAGGCAGCACAAGACTGTTTGTTTTAAAAGAACTGTTTTTAAAAGCAGAATTGCCCCRTGAGACAGCAGCCGAGAGCCCTCTGGCATCGCGGGGCAGCTTGCTGCTTCCCCCTGGCAAAAGCTGCTTCCCACCGTGGGGGCCGGCAGCAGCAAAGGCGCCAGCAGCACCAGCAAACCCGCGCAGCGAAGGGCCAGCCCTGGGGTGGACAGCAGAAACGGGGCTGGGAGCAAGGAAGGGGGTAGTAGAGAAGGTGGTCAACTTAACAGTTCAGAAACACAAAAATTGGGCAACTGCTCATGCTCTTAAGCCTGGGATGGGGAAGAGAGTACGCCAAGGGGGAAGGTGCAAAAAAAGTGCTGGTACTGCATTTTTGTTSCTGCCGTTACAGGATCATCTAGGCACGACACAGAATTATTCACAAAGGGTATTTTGATTCACTGAAAAAAACTCAAGAAAAATACAGAAGGTATAAAAAAAAGCTATATTCTTTGGGATTCATTATATTGGCATGCATTTAAAATAGCCACACAAGAACTGCAAGTCATGCTCATCATTAGCTGGAAAGCTTCATATAAAGTGTATTCCCACACCTTTTTCAGTGGTATTACCTGCGAGGGGGCAACCGGTGGGTGGGGTGGTACGGTGGAGATCTGAAGCGGTTTTAGGGGTGTGCTGCTAGCTGCCACCTGAGAAGTTTGGGGCTGATACTGGGGCAGTAGATGGGTTGCAGGTGACATTGGGCAGACGGGCTGGCTGGCAAGCACCTGCTGCAGAGAGGCTTGCTGCGACATGGGCTGCTGCTGGAAAGGAAGAGAGAACAGGGAAAGGTTAAGGCACATTCCCTGCAAACGGGCCGGTTCACCTGCACCTTTCTAGCTAAGGTCAGCACAGAACTGCTGCTTGGAGCAGAAATGATTTATATGAGAGAGGGTGCTGCTCATTTAAACACTGCACAAGAGTCATTTAAATGTAAGATATGTTAGCTGAAAAGACAAATGCTAACTGTCCTGGAAAGGTTATTCATAATAACTCATCACGCTCTTCAAATCCCCGATACTGCTCTAGATGGCCCTGTAAAATCCCTATGTCATTAACTTCAAAAATTCCYCCTATGCAGATTATACCCAGGCCAATCTCGGTATTCAAAAGCTGACTACATCACATAGTAGGTTGAAGTAGCCTTCAACACTTATTACACAGCATTCCACCCGATCTGCAAATAAAACACAGTTAATACAGCAAAAGTTCTAACTGGATCTCAGGTCTATGTCTGAGGCACTGCAGGAACCACACAGCAGCTGAAAAGGCACTTTTACCTTTACAAGGGAAACTGTGCTCTGCTGGCCTGCCAGGTTTTATACAACAGAAATAGAAATAACAGAAAAAAAACCTGCAAAAAAGCTGACTGTAATGAGCMATAGAAAGCTTCACAGCTTCCACGCTACTGATATATCCTTTTTTGGCTCCTTTAATTATGTTTCAAAATAATAATGTTTCAAAAGTGCAGCACTGAGGCATTAAACCATCCCTGGATTGACCTACTTGGGACCACAGGATTTATTGATTAACTCAGCTTCCATACCACATAAAATCTAATACCATGCTTGAAGTTCAAAAGGTCTGTGGGTTTTTTCTTCTATTTTCTTCATCTTTGCTACTTCTCAACTATCATCATATTTTACTCAGCACTTCTKCAGGAGCAGAATTCTTCAACCAGAAATTTTAGGCATTAGTACAATAAAACTGCAGAATATGAGCCAAGGAGGCAAGAAATGCCATCCACTCTTAAGAGAGATAAACCTCAGCCATCACAGTAACAATTTTCCATGCAGTATCAGCAAATAAAGCAGCCCTTGGCTACCAGCACCCCGTGCCCGGGGCTGGACGGGCATCGTGGGTCACAGGAGCAGCACGAGGTGCGCTGGGGACAGCACGGCCATGGGCCTCGGTGTCCCTCGCAGCATCGGCTCTGCTCCCGCGGGATTCCCTAGCCTTGTCCCGGGGCCCACACGGACACGGGCCATGTTCCAAGCACCCGAGCTCACCTCAGCTGTGCCAAGATGGCACTCACGGAGCTCAGGAGCTTCCCCAAGGCCCCTCTTGAGCCTGACTCCCGTTTTACAAAACACTTGGGAACTGGATGAAGGAGGGGAAAGCACCAGTTTTGCTCCCTAGGCCTAACTACAACCTGCACATAATGAGGGGTTCCTGCAGACATACCCAAACTGGGAAGAAAAACACAAAGAGGAGACAGAGTGCTTGAGCCACCAATGTCTAATGACAAAAGACTGTCTGTAAAACAATGAAATGCAACAATTTCTCACCTTTTCTCACCTCACAATTTCACATCTTTTTCTTTACACTCCCTGCCATTTGTTTGCAAAGGACCGAGGCTGCAGTACCATCTCTATTGTACAGTGACACAGCACTATAAAAGAGAGTCTTCTAGCTTGCTAGCAGTTAAAACCCTCACTTTATAAAGATCATAAGGATATATTTATTGCTAGGCATGTTACCTATTGCTTTACTGAATCTTCCCTTAGAGAATATGTTCTGAGAAACTGCTAAAGTGCAGTCACCATGTGTAGTTTTTTACCCAATGCAAAGCAGCTCTTCTTAAAGGCTATCAAACAGGCACAAAAATATCTAAAAGCTCCTAAAATTTTTAAATTCCAGTTATAATAAGCTAAGCTATCACTAAACGAAATCTCCCACCAGTACTGTGTGATCAACCTAGGTGTTTCTACATTGAAAAGTATAGTATAATTAAAAAAACCCTGCAAAGTAAATGAGCTTTCTTCACTCTGCACTACATTTTGAACTGACCAGAGAAATTTAATAACAGAAGTATGAAAAGTCTAATTTTGATCTGGAACTTTATCCTGAGGGCAGATTTATCCTTGGGGCAATTCCATTAAAAAAAAAGCTGCCGCCCCAGGCACGAATTTTCTTACAGAGCTTACATCACATAATACATCTTAAATCAATGCCCAAAGGAAGTTAACAATGTATGTTTGGGTAGACAGAGAGAAAAGGAACTATATGCTTTGATTCATTAGAAAAAAAAGACTAGTTATTAATCCATTACTTTCGGGGATGGAATTATTTCAAAAAACAGTTATGCTATAAGGAAAGGGTATGTAAAAAATGTGAAAGTCTTAGAGAAAGATCCTTTTCCAAAACAGTTTTTACACACTGGGAGAAAAAAAAAGGAAGAGAAAAAATAACACACACAGCAGATTTTGAACTGTCAGCATAAAGCTGTGAAAGCTCCAGAGGCCACTATAGATGTCTCTGCAATGGCAGCAGTCCTAAATTTGCCTTAAAAAATGTAGCATTTTTGGCCGAGAGAATATGTTGTGATATATCTTTGCCCATTAAAAAAAAAAAAAAAAGGCAAGATGAAAGTGTACGTTCTCAAGGAGACCAAATTACATGGTTTCTCTGAAAACACTCTCATAAGAATACTGCATATTAAAAAAAAAATTGACGCAGTGTCATCTAAGAGATAAATTTGGATAACTAAGAAGATATGRAGAGGTACGATATGCACCAGTCACAAAGTATGCAAACACTCCCCGGCCTCGTCAACATTTTCTACTGAAGACAGACAGGCTCTCGGTAGAAGCACAGAAAGGAGCCACAGAACAACGCGCTACACGGGGCTGTGGCTATTTTCCCTACAGGTTGACCTCAGTCTCCTGCAGGGAGGCGACCGCAGCATTAACAGCTGGTCCTGTTCAACAGAGGCGTTTTGTAAACACCTCTAAGGAACAGATATTTGGGGGAGGGAGGGAAGCAATAATCCAAAATGCATAAAAATTACTATCCAGAGACAATTCAGTCAGAACCAGCTTTTTCTTTCACAATTCAAATCTACTTACTGGATATTTACATCCTATTCTATTGTGGAAGAGGTGCTTGAGCAGCATTGCCGAGCATTTACAGATAACCGATATCAGGGAACAGACTCTTCCTGACCTTTTGGGAACACTTAGAGATGGAGGTGCCAAATAACAACTAGAACTAATTGAAGTAGAGCAACATTGCTCCACTGCCAACGATGCAAGAGTTGAGCCCCATACTGGTAAGACAGGATGGGAGCAGAATCTAAAAACCCATCCAGATGTTACAGGGTGTCACCCCACGACTGTCCGGCCCTGTTGGCTGAACCAAACTTTATTATTTGCTTAGTAGAAAAGTAAAATAAATAGATAAATGCTCTTTTTTTWAAATAAATAGTGGGGAAAACGCGCTCCCGTGGCAGCAGCCCTCACCTGCTGGCTGGCGAGCACCGGCGGCGACTGCCCCATGGGCAGCGTCGCCACCGTGGTCGGCGGCACCACCGGGAACGTCATGGGCGGCTCCGGGAAGAGCGGGGCGCGCGGGGCCACGGCGGCGGCCGCGGGAGCCTGGACCACGGGCAGCCCGGCCTGCGGGAGCGAGAGGGGCGACCCCGTTAGACCCCGCCACAGACCCCGCTCACCCCCCCATGAGCCTGCTCAATGCCTAGCTCGGAGCGCAGCGAACAGACCTAACAGAGTCATCCGCAAAGAACGGAATGCTAATATAATCTCAAAATACACAGAACGGACTAACATTTCGATGGGAAATAAAACTACCAAGCTGCATTGCATTTCTTGCAGAAACAAGCCCACAAACAAGTAAAACAGAAAGCACAGGCTTTTATAGAATATATTAAGAGCAACCTACCAACAATTGGAAAATATAGAATTTTTAACTTCACGAAGATTTTTTGTAATTTCATAAAGAATCAGCTAATTTACTTCAATTGGAATCCATGAAAATGAATACAGAAACACACACAAAAAAGACTGAAAGTGAAACATAAGGAAATGAAAACACGTAAACGATAAGGCTTGCAATGAAAGGGTCTCTCAAACTTCAGCTCAAAGAAGATAAATGCATTAAAAATAAACAGCACACCAGACTGAGCTACATAGGCCTAAACCAAAAAAATGACTACAGCTCCAGTTGTGTGCTGCTATGCTACCCTGTAAATGTTGCAGATCTCCYAGATGCATACATTGATGTATATTTTTTTCCTGTAAAACAGAAGGTTTTGGATGAGGTTTGCTGTGTTTGTTGGGGTTTTCAAATCATTGATTCACAGAAGAAAAAAAAAAAAACATGTGGAAAACATATCAGAAAACAAAAAGCTGCAGTGAATCTTCCCATTACAAAGAAAAAAGTCATTTTTCCAAATCTCCAAAAGAGAGGAGTGCATTTAAGCTTAATTATGGATATTCTATCACTGGAAAGAGCAAGTCTGCTCTCAGGCAAAATGCCCCACAGCTCAATGCAGGAAGATTCTCCCGCTAGAGAGGTGCCTCGCGGGCGCTGCATTTGGAGCTCGGTTGGTGCTCCACGTGGGTAAGGGGCGAGGGAGGACACGTCCCAGCAGAAACACGCACACGGTGAAGGTGCTTTCAGCGGACAAAGCTGGCTACAGATGCCAAGGATGAGGGTTTTTTCCTCCTTCAGGTAACATTGTTAGAAACAGAGGCAGGAAAACATGAAGCAAGCCCTGGAATCCACACCTACTGACAACAGTGCATAGAGGAGTTCCCTGGATACGATCTGGGAGAGAGGACAGTCTCAAAAAGCGTGGGACTTACTCCTGAGGGCTGCTGGTAGTGGCCCAGCTGCTGCAGGCCGTGGGGCAGGGCCGGGCTCTCGCTCAGCGGCGGGCTGTACACCCGCTGAACGGCGGGCGGAATCGCATCGGGCAGCGACGAGTAGATAACGCTTTGCTGGCTGCTTTGGGAGTCCGAATAAACAGTGGACCCCTGACCGCTGTCAAATGTGCTGTCAGCTGAAACAACAATATTTTTTTATTAGGAGGTCACCAACTCAAAACATTTAATGATGATTGAGCACCAAGGTCAACGCTGGTTTATGTAATTGGCATTTTACCACCATCTCTACTATATAAATAAATTATACAACACAAACRTTGTTTTCTACAAAAGGCACATAACTGCTCTTTCAAAGCCAAGAACCAAGAGTAGTCCCTAAGGGTTTATATGCACAATGATATTTTAAGAATATTAATAATTATTTTAAAGGACATAAGTCTGACATTGAGAATKGCAGACCTGTTATGGATTTTCCAGGATCAAAGGAGAGGAAACCCCACCAGAGCAGAGCATGGCATCATTTAGAGTTAGTTCTTCTGTTGATGCGTTCATGTTAACATCTATTTGATTAATGGCACTGAAAATTTCTACTTAAAATTACAAATTTCTTTATACGCTTTGCTAGTTCATCACATTCTGGTCATCTCGATTATACAGCACTATGTCAGATGAAGAATAATTAACAAAGTCATTTAACTGGGCTAGGCAAAAACATACAGGGGAGAAACCACAGAAATGTATTATGGATTTCCTGATGGATTGAAGTTCATTGATGAGACACACAAGCCCTATTTAAACATGCCTGCAAACACAAGTCCTGCAATGGAAAGCTGCAGGTTTGACATGGCACTGGCTGCAAGCAGACTAGGCAGCAGTGCAAAAACAGCTCCTATAGGAATTACAGTTAAAATGCACCCTTATTTTTTATTTTTTATTTTTTATTTTTGTAAGCTGGAAGTTTTTAAAGTTACCTGTGCTGAACAATAAAGGAAAAGAATGAAATAAAGCTGCCTTACATAAGCTGCTACCTCGGCCCAGGGCATTAGTGCCTTGGCAGAGCAGCCGAAGCTCCGTCAGCAGCTCTCACGCTGAGCGTCTGGCCAGCCCATCTGCAGAGCTGCTGGCTCCGGGCACTGGGCAAGCATGCCACTTCTTGCCCAAACAGAAATAGATGTTGTCTCACTGAATTTTATAGGTTTTAAAAAGAGTTTTCAAGGCTTTTAAAGCCTGTGAAGTACAGGCACACTGTTCTCGAGCATAAGCTATTGCTTTTTCTTTAGAAATAATGAAGATCACAGCTATGAAGTATCCAAAAGTAAGTAGCTTGTAAAAGAAAATTAAAACTCAGGACCCGAAGACAACTGTAACGTAGTTAGACAGTTATGAAAAAAAGGCTCAAAATACAGATGCATTTAAACTATATTTCCTCTTCTGACTTTCTATCTTCTCTACTTTTCCATCTTCCAAATAAGGCTTTATCTATTTCAGTTTAAAACAATATATGTTTTTAATAGCAGAAATGAAACTTCAGAGTATTCATAACCTAATCTCCCAATTATGCTATGCAAAACCAAACTCATTTCTGTATTTGTTCAATTCATTTACATAAAGAGCCAACATGGCCTTTAAGAAGATGGTACATATTTTTGTGGCATATACACTTTCATTTTATTATGAACAATTACTCAAAACCTCAAAGGAAGAAAGAGCATGAGTTAATAGCACTACAGCAGAAACTGTGAGTCAACCTTAGATTTTTATAGAATCTCATGCATTACACAGGTAACAAACTATTAGTTTATATTTCTGCATTTGACCTCAGGATATTATATGAATTGATAGGGAAGTAATTTATAGGGTTCTTAGGCTCAACAGCTCTAAGTAAATGTTGAAAGACATGACAGTGAATTGCCAAACAATGGCAAGGATTGATTACAAGCYGAGGAGTAGGAAGGAAACTGGGGGTTTTATGTTTAGCAGAATATAAAATTCTGCCAACTCATTAGCAACAGAATCATGGGAAGCAGAAGCCGTCTCACTGTATCGCTGGAAGCAAAAAGTCATAATCACAGGGTTTCTCAAAGGAATTAGATGGTATGAATTAAGTAGATGTTCTAAAAAATTAAAATGAGATCAATTTAGCTGCAGAAAAAAAAAAAAGCTTTGTAAATCCTATAATATTCTGAAATTTATGCAAATATGGCCATTTATTACATCTTCCGAAGGTCTGCTTTCTTGTAGAGGCATGCTTGAATTTCAGCATTCAAAGTGGCACTCTGCATGGCAATTTAGACAGTACCKGAATTAAAGCTGTAGCTGTCCCTTTGCTAAAGGCAATTGCCTACTTAATTTAAATACGTTTAAATGAAAGTCTGGAGCAGGAAAACGGAAACAGCATACTTTAGGAGAAACTTTTGTTAGAAAAAAATATCTAGAAAATAGTTCTCACTAAATTTCAATCTTCCAAACTTCCAAACAGAAATAGGACTCCTTGATGTTCTATTTTGAAATATTATATATGTATACATACATACACATATAATACATATTATATATGTATGGTTTTTGCATCTATTCATTTTTTTACTTCAGTATTACTACTATTTTGAAAGAAGGATCTTTCCATAAATATGTACATATATAATATACATATAATGTTTTCTTGGCACTACTTCTCTGCAAATCATCCCGTGTCTTTCAAATGCACTGAGCTATTACGTACGAACGTGAACGGTCTCTGCCTCCTGAGCCCAGCCCAGCCCACTGCTGACTCTGAACACTCGTCCCTGCGCCCGACTCACATGCCACAGAGGTGACGCTGGTGGGCAGGTTTGGCTGGAAAGGGTGCTGATCCGCCTCGGGCTCCTCCGACTCCGACAGGACGTGGTGACCGGTGTGAGACAGGTACGTGACCTGAACCTGCTGGGCCTGCGGCGCCTTCGATTTCTCCAAACAYTCGGAATCTCGACGTTCCTCCGACTGTATCCTAGGCCAAATTCTCTCTCTTCTCCATTGTATTAATGCTACTCGGTCACGTATTGACTTGGCAACTATCTTGAGATCATTTTCGTGAAAAAATCCAGAGTCAATCTACAGAGGAGGCACAGACTTAGCAAGATCACGTGTGTATGTTTGCACACACGCATAGCAAGTGAATCACACAGCACTCAAACCTCCGCCTAACAGATAAAACATCAGCTTGAAATAACATGAATGTCATGTTTGCTCCTTACAAGGATAGGAATTGGAGATGGTGCTTCATGGATTATTTTAGAGGGGAAAAAAAATCTGTCACTAAACAAGTGACAGTAAGAAATAACAACAGTAATTTCTAAGACCTAAATATATAATTTGCTCAATATATGGACCAGCTAATATTCAATGAGAAGACAGTAAGTTAAATTACAGGGTGAGGAGGATTCTTTTTTTCTTCACAAAGACTAACAAAATAGGGAAAAGAGGAAATCATCATCTTTGGGTAACTATCTTTGTATAGCACAACAGGAGCAAGCCACACTACCCTCAGCCAGACTCTATTGCCTTACCCTCTCCAGTACCCAGAGCTTCCCAAACTGGGCTGCTCGACATCACAAGTAAATCGGGAAGGAAAACACTAACCCCTTAGCACGAGACGGCTAACCCCTGGCGAGACGGCGCTCACAGGGTTGGGACCTTGCAGGGCAGTGACTTCCTTGCAGAGCGGCAATCCTGCAAACCTGGCATCCTAACAAGTTTTTAAGCATTCCCATCCCCACATCTCTATTTAGAGAACAGTAAATGTTTCATGAAGACATGCTAGCCTTGCTAGYACTACCGGCTGTGAGACCTTCAGGTTGCTAACCCTGCAGAACACTTCAAGTCCTCCTCTTTCTGACAACATGGGTCGTTTGAACAAGCTTGAATGCCTGCTTAGTGAAACACTATCAATAGTGATAAATAACTCCCTCTGCTCAAAAAGTGCCCTGCATCATTCTCCCACAGCTTCTGATGTGACACATTTATAAAGCACATGGTTTTGGCTTCAGAATTCCCAATGTCTAGAAAATGTCATTTAGGCATAAATGTCCCCTTCTCTACCCCTAAATGTCTCAGATTTGAAAGGATTTCACATTAGGCACTTAAAGTGATGCGAAAACACAAGCTTCGAAATAATATGGGTAAGGTGAAGGTATCATAGTATGTTGGATGCAGTCCTTTTGTGTATAATTTGTACGAGAATTATTTCCCATTAAAAACAAAATATCACAAGAACAGGCCAAGACAAGTGCAGAACATCAGGAATGCAAATCCTGCCATAAACACTGAACTATAAATGAAAAGTATAACAGTAGGTTCTGCAATAATACATTGCTGAAAAAAATACTGGCTCTTCAGCAAAATAACAACTAAAGGACACAAAAAGACAGAGAAGCCTAAATTTCTCCCATTAATTTTGGGGATTTTACATGTTTAAAAAAAAAAAAAAAAAAGAAAAGGCAGCTTTATCAAAACCATCCATTTCCTAAGCAGAACAGGAGTGGTGAAGACAAGACCAATAAATAGGACCCTCTGGGATGCAGGATACAACAATAGGGGCATTTCTGCAATTACCTTTCAAGAAAAGTACTTTACCAGACCTGCTCCTGCTGTCCTTTAAGATTTATGCACTAATTATATATACATATATATGTATAGGTTGGGTTTTTTTGTCAGGAGAAGGTATTTTACCATTTCTTGTGCAACATCATCAGGAGTTTCCTTCTCCAGATCAAAAGTAAACTCAATGGCTCCATTATCTTTGGGTTTTCCTTTCAGTTTCTTAGGATCTTCTACCCAGAGTCTTAAGGCAATAGAGGATTTCCTACCATGGTCTTCTTCTGCAAGTTCCACTCTTACCCCAGTATCTTCAGCAAAAAAGGCATGGCTTAATAAATCTTTAATTTCATATCTGCAATGGATATACAGAATATTTAAACATTGCAAGGCTTAAACTTTTTCAAATAAATTTGTAACAATAAATAAACAATAAAAATAAACAATAAAAAATGTTCCACTTCTAGTATTTATCCACAAAACTTCAGCAATATTCATATATCATTCACAGATACAGAAACACATGCACATAAGCATAAGATTAATGCTTATCTCTCAAGTTATTCAACTTTATTATTCGATTATATTCAATTTATCTCAAGTATAAGAGTTTAAGAAGTACTAAAAATATGATTCCCTTTAAGGGAATAAGCCTGTGGAGGGCCCCAAGAACCTTCTTCCTGAAAGTCATGCAAGAACATTAAGCTTTAAAGCCAACACTAGAGACAAGACATAATTTGTCTTCATATATGGATGCTAATTGTTGATATAATCTGTTATAATGGCATGCAGTGAATGCTCTGACACTGCAAAACACTTAAGTGAGATGCAGATCTCACTTGTGGTCAGTTCCACCACAAGTTGTTCTCTAAGCAGGACTTCTTGAGCAAGATCTCACAGACTGGTACCCTGCAACAGGTCTACACTGATGCTTTCTGACCTTATTCTTTGAAGTTGAGACACAGACAATTGTGTTGATTCTATTATCTTGATATTTTATGTCAAGAATGCAAGCGATCACATTTACATTTATATTTTAGATGTTGGATGAAGTTATTACACTTCACCTATTCTGTAGGTGAAGTTTATTTTCTCCTGAACAGGGAAGATTTCTTTATTTTTCTTCTTCTTTATTTTTTTTATTTATTTATTTATTACCTTTCTTCTTTATTTTTGCAAATGCACTCTCCAATTATCTCCTTAATTTCAGGATCAGTAACTTTCTCAAAGCTTGCTGGCTTTATACCCTAGAAGAGTAGAGAAAAATAACTTAGTTTGAAAGCAAATTACATTATGTGTCTTAATTAAAGATTATTCTACTACATTTTACATAAAATTCAACCCTTGGGATAATCAATACTTTAAAGTTGATAGTCAACTTAAAACTGAATTGAGGATTTAGGGTGATTACATTTCTAAGTACCTTTATACTTTGAAATAAGCGCCTTAGTTGGTACATGCAACTCAGCCACGCATCACACAAATCTCCCTTTTCTTGACTGCCAGCATTTTCAAGACTTACCCTCACACAATGTGGACTCTGATGTTGGTGTTCAAGAAGTAGACACATTTAAATTCTCAAAATGGTAATTTTTTGAAAGCCATCCTTTTTGTTTCTTGCATTTATTCTCAAAATGTTAAATGAATAAAGAAAATCTGTATGCATTGCTCCAATAGGCAGTTTCAGGAAAGAGTAAAAAATAATTTGGAAGAGCAGACCAAAGCAACACTCTGTACTACTGTTCTCCACAGCTGCTTTGCCTTTCTTTCTTCCCCAGCACTGCTCCCTCAAAAAAAMCCCAAAACTTTCATTAACCCCTTCACTTTCACCTTCAAACTCAAAAGAGCAAAATATGAAAATTAATAAATTTGGGGGAAAGAGAAGGGGGAAAAAACATAACAGTCACATAGACAGTCAATTTCTTGGTTTTGTCTAGATAGACAGTGGCCAAGATCAAATGAAAATATCATAGAGGAAACCAAACAGAATACATGGGTGCATGCAGTAAGTTGACTGTGACTGAAAACRATTACTCGATTAAGCAAACCTAAATCTTGATTATGAGATAAGGGTTTATTTTTTATATATTAGAAAAATGTGTTAAAGTGATAGGTATTATCTTGTCTATCAACATCCATCCTAATCAAAAGCAAACAAAAACATCCACACAAATCTTTTTAAGACTCTTTCTTAAATAAGCTCTGATAACTTTCCCTGAGAAGTCAATATGAAATGGCTAAAAAACCCCATCAACCTTGAGCAGCTTCTCTTCCCTCATATGCCACAGGGTCGTGCTCCTCTCACCTCAGAAGGGTGGTGATCTGAGGCCCCGATGCCACAACACACTTACTGAATTTTGGAAAAGCCCCAAACCAAAGAGCTGCCAAAAAGCTGCTCTGTCCACGCTGCCGGGACGGGAGCTGCATCCTTCTTGCAAGCCAACTGCCAGCAGCTGGTGCCTTCCTCCAAAAGGGCCCCTGAATCCCACCACAGGACCATCTGCGGAACAAGACTGCTCACTGCAGAAACACAGCTCTGCTCACCAGAAACCATGCACACTGCCTCAACGCCTGCGTATCGAAAGTGGGAACCAACTTCGGTAACCAACACCAAATTTTGGGGGTCTTCAGGCAGCCTCCTGCAGGTTTAGCTACCCAGCCTACCTTGTTCTCAGGAGTCTAATGAAATCTTTGTTCATTCACAAAGGAAAGCAGTAAGACAAATCTCTATCCATTTTTCAGGCACTCTAGTTTGCTATAAGAAACCATGAATTTCCAACTTAATGACACCTTTTAGGAAGAATGAGTAATAAAGACCAAAAGCTGCTCTAGCGCAATGTTTATGGAAAAGTATCACAGAAATGTGCATAAGTTTCAATAATAACTGAAAGAAATTAATGCATTTAACCCAGCAGTAAAGGCTACTCTCACCATACTACCTGGAGAGCTCTGTGCTACGACCAGGCMCTGTTTCCTAAGGTGACCACGTTGTTTGCATATGTAGCACTCGAGAGAAAATGCCAGATGCTTTGTATATTTGCTGGCTGTTTCATGGGTATTTTGACCCAAGCTAAATATATGAGAGGCACAAATAGCATAKGTACAATATATCACAGTATCTCTCAATTTTATTTTCCAGAATTCATATAGATCCGTCATTTAGATGGCTTKCACAATTGGATTGGAGCAGGTCAGGGCAGGCTGGGCATCTACAAACCAGGTTTGCTTTGAAAGGTTTGATTTGACACATCCCTGATAACTGACCTTGATTTTTGACCTTACATATTGCTTMCATAATAGCGACTCCTACAAATGCCATGGTCGTTTCCGTATCCTTTGAAGGAGCACTGACTCTCCTCAAAACATCTATTGCATTAATTCAAGCTCCTAAATGATGAATACACGACTAGAACAAACGAGGACAAAACACGCACAGCAAAGTACTAAATGGAGCCCTTTTCCAAAGCATTTTCCTCAGGGTGCAGATGCTACATGGTGCTTTGGCTCCTTCGTTCTCATTTGGCTCCTTCATTCTCAACAGCCAAAACCAGCTCCTAGGACTGAAATTCCACCGCACTGGAAGGTTTCTGAAGTCAACAAAGTCAAGATAAAGCTCTCCATCCTATCAGTACTTTATTCTATAGCATTTAGACCATGGTATGCAACACCAGTTTCCCTGCAAAATAGTGCGTAGCCCTAGCGCTAATTTATCCAGATTATCTGCAAATCTGAGGAAGTATCTGAAACACATGGAAAATCAGCGTTATGYCTCCTGCCGCAGTGCTACAGCAATGGACTTTATTCAGTTTGTATAAGCAAAATATCTATTTTATCTAGAGCAAAATTCCTATTTTACTAGGCATTTTATCTATGGTAAAATACTCATTTTACCATAGAGAAAATAAATYAGCATATTCACAAAACTAAAAATGAAACACAGCAAATGCGGTGGCTGTTTTAAATCTATACATTTACTTTGCTAAACTCAATGAGGTTTATGCATCCACGGATTCCCCASTGTACAGAGTCGGTCTGCTGTGAATTCTCCAGCACCTCAATAAGAAAACATTGGACGGGAGCTGCATGGGAAGGTCTCAGACACTGATGTTTCATCACTAAATACGCCTATTGTCTACATCAAAATTATTTGGCAGAATGATTAAACACAAAAAAAAAAATCTGACTAAGAAAAACCATCAAGTAATGCATGAAAAATGAGATTACAGCGTCGGAATGAAGGTCACTGTGAATATGCTGATCAAGAAATCATTTGCAAGCTAACTGCTATAAATGCAGCTTTCACCTGTTGTTTGAAAAAAAACTTTTTTTTTTTGTATTCTATACACTTTTATCATGCCTGATTAAAATCAAAGAGTCTAATTGCAGCGTGTGCAATAGACCCCAGCAAAGAACTTAAAAGCTTCACTTTCTCATTACAGACTCAATCACATCCATGTTTCAGTTCCTTCAACTGCTCTTTAGAGTATGAAAAAAAGCATAAAGTYATTAGGAGGGGCTGAGAAGAGGGCGATAAATGCAAGTCTCCAGGAAGCTCCGTTCGGATGCTGAGGCTGAAAGGGCAGAGGGAGAGCGTGCGAGTCCTAACAAGCACGTCTAATCCACCAGAGAAACGAGCCTGCTGGCGCATTTGGGAGACAGCTCAGGAAACGACGGGGATTGCCTTGTTAGCTGGGACTGTGATGTGCAGACAGTTACCTGTGCATAAGGGCAGCACTGGAAAATTAAAGCAGCAATGACAGTTGGCCATGAGAACATGCTCTGACAGAATACAAGGCCAACATACAGGTGCAATAAACTGTCAGCTTAATAAACTACAGGCATATGTAATGCAGGATATTTTTAAACAAAATAGTGATATTTCAGATAAGTAATGGGTGCATTCTGCATAGCAGTATCTGTTACCAGTGCATGGGATGAGCATCCCTGGGCAATCCAAAGTTGGGCGAGAGGCAGCCTGCAGGATCCGGCACCTACTCACCCTCATGAGCAAGCGGCTGCTTTCCGGATCCGAGCGGGAACAAGCAGCACCAGCCCCTCAGGTGCTGCTAGCACCTCCAGCGGTTGCTGCCAGGATAATGGGCCAAGGGCAGCATTGTATTTTATATTTAGAAAATACTAAGTATTTTACAGAAGTAGGATATTTATTATTTATATTATTTAAATATAAGTATTTTATATTTAAAAAATAAAAGCATAGGGCAACTAGACACAGAGGTAAGACCATTTAGGTTGCATTCAGCCTCCACTTAAAATATTAGCAATAAGCAGTGCTTACATTACTGGTCCAACGAATTAAGTACATTTCTTTCTCACCAAGAAGCTGACAACAAGGCAGAGTACCACTGATCCCACTGCTCTGCGACGGTTTTTGCTCTAGTGAGACCCCAAACCCCCAGCTATCTCTGGGAATAAAACTCGGTGCAATTCAGCCTCTTGGTTTGTGTAGTCCAGCACGGTGCAGAGCAGCCCCGCATACTCACGCGGGGCCCAGCGGCGTCCCCGGCCGTCGCCAGCTCTCCGGTGTGCTCGGCTTCTCCTGGAAGCCCCGGGAGACGTGGGCAGCAAGGACCGTGTCCGGCTGCCCTGCTCGGCGCCCTGGCAGCAGGGCCACCCCCTGCTCCTCCTCCAGCTCTGGCAGCTCCCAGGCCACTGGGATTCTCCCTCTGCACACAGAGCTGGTTAACCCTTTCCTTGTAAGGACAGTAATGCCAGTTTTTCCATCTCTCTCTCCATCCTGGTGCCTTTGCCTGCTCCTGCAACAAGGCTGTAGGAGCTGCTGCCCACGCATCCTCCATGCCCATGCCCACCAGAGCGGTACGGGACCTCTCTGCCAAAGATACCCCGCCACAGCAGCAACAAAGTCACCTTTTAGTAGTCTTCACTTTCACAAGAATCACTGCTTGCAAGTTCAGTTGTTAATTTAAGGCTACTTTTTAAAGAAAGCTGTAATAAATTACCATACAACCCTCGGCTTTCTAAAGGTTACTGCCACAGAACACAACTTGGCTCAAACTTTCGGTGCTTAAAAAGTGATTACTAATTGAAATACAAAATCTAATTAGGGATCCTCTGATTAATCATTACTTTTTGCCATCTTGGATACCATTTTGACAAACGAGGCACAGGAGTCTCACGAAATCCCAATTACCAGYGCTCCATATGGCTAAGGGCTGCRCATGCTGTCAACTGTTGCAAGGATGCTGAGCCCTGCAACATGTAAGACAGCATTTATGGCTCTAAATATATATAAATATATTCACGTAGGTCACYTTAACATTAGCTAACCATGGTGGCCGCTCCCCAAACAAAACAGGCTTATGACTCACACAAACTTCTACCCAGTGCATCAGCTAAAACCTATCGCTCTTGCGTATAGCCAAGTACCTAAACTAGCAGGCCAAAGAGGTACCCAGGATCGCATTCCCTGCACGAGCACCCAGCCCCTGGCACCAGAAGAGTCACCTACTTTGAAGCTTTAGAGCATAGAGAGATCTCTCCCAAGCTARTGACAAAGACACCATTTAGAGCAGGTACTAAATACCATGCACCTAAAAGAAGCCAACGAGCCACCTGCCAAAGGGAGGAAAGTTCTCCTTGCAGGGAGGGCGCAAGTGAAACAGCAGTGCAAAACTACCACGGAAGAAAAACGTGATACCAGAAGTCACCCTCAAAGGATCTGGGCAAGCAGCTTTGCTGCCGCCCTGTGCATTGCTCCTCTTTGCAAAGCTGCATGCACATTTGCAGCAGCTCCATGGTGCAGGGCAGAACCAGCAGTGAGAAGGGCTTGCAGACCCGTTCCAGCACACACGTCCTTGCTCCCAGCACCACACAGAGCCGCTCCAGCTACTCGAGCACCAGGTAGCGAGGAAGGCAGCTGGGCTGCTGAGGAGCTTCCTCTGCCTTTTTCTTATTTCTGGACAGCTGCAGGTTGGAAGCTGCACTGTAAGAAGGGTTAAGCTACCTAAAACCAGGATCGCGGTCTAGAGCGAAGAGATTCAGCTTTGCCAAGCTACAAATGGCAGCTTGCAACAAGCAAGATCAAGCTCTGTCCCTGTGCAGATGTGTTCTCCCGTGTTCAGCAAGTCTTTCCATATCAGCTATTGCCAGCAGGAAACCCTCCTCTTTCTTGTGATTCAGACTTTAGCTAAAAAAAAAAAAAAAGAAAAGAAAAAAAGCTTCCGAATCGCTTGCATGGTCCCTCCCCATCAGGCCTCCATCACCAAACTTGGCTAGCACCACGGGCTACAAGAGTACCAGCCTCCTTGAATCCTGTATTCAGTAATGGGAAAAAGAAATTGGACAATATAAAATGCACCTAGAAAAATTAAAATGCCAATAAATCTCTATCTGATGGAGGCATCTTTCTGGAAAAAAACGACTGTAGTCTTGGTTTCACTTAACCACATAGAGTAGAGCAGGGCTACAGCTGCCAAAGCTCTTGGCAAGCTGCGTTTCTCTGCAGTCAGCAGTTCTTCCACTGATTTGCAGTCTGATAGCATCTCACAGACTCGGGAGGRTTTTTTTCCAGGTGTCTCCAGAGCAGCTCATGTAGACAAATACAGTTATCGTATGGGCAAGAGAGGGTATTTTGGGTGCTTTGGTTGGGGGAGGGAGTATTTTATTTAGTACAAAGATTGTTTTGGATTGCCTTTTTCTCCAGCCTAACCTTGCTCTTCTGTCTCACTCCAGAATTAAACACTAGTATTTTTTCTTTATCTTCAGATAACATGCAAACTGCAAAGCACAGTACTGAAAATCTGAAACAAGCACCACATAAAAGAGAAGTCTGCAACATAAAAGTTAGTCGTCTGAGCTTGTGGGATGCTTGGTTAATTCTGAGTAGTCGCCATTCAGGAGGCAAGATGAGAATGGAAATCTTCCCTGCTTATTTTTTCCCCACTGTCACCTATTTTTTGCTGATGGAGCCAAAAATCAGCAAGAAGATTACTAAAAATATTTTATGCAGCTGCAGTACAATCAAATGAAATCCAACTGCAGAATTGTAAACTTCCCAAAGAAACCTGCAACAGTTTTTYCACAAGCCAGAGCAAAGACATCGCCATTCTGCCCTATCCTAGTTTTCTAGCACACACATGGCAGTCCCAGCGTGACAGTGAAATAGATATATTTCACTGTTGGGACTGGGGACCTTCCAGACCTTCAGATGACAAAATCCCAAATTAAAGATGCAACCAAAAGTTACATTAATCTACTTACACAGGTTACTTTCCGGTAAATTTGAGCAGCATTCTGGCATTCTGAATAAGGGTATTCTGAGGTAGCCATTTCCAACATGCACATCCCAAAAGCGTACACGTCCACGGATTCATCATAGTGTTCCTCATACATCTCCGGGGCCATGAACTCTGGAGTACCTACACACGCACACACAAAAAGAACAAATTCTTCGTAAGTTTTAAATGGCTTTACCTATAAAAGTGCACCTATTAGAGCAGCATAAGGATGCATGTGACATTATTTCAAAACAGGAAAGTAATTAGAATAATTCTGTGTAATTAGAATAATGCCCAGGCATCCCCCAGAGAATAAATACAAAGTCAACCCACATTTGCACATCTCTCTCTTCATGGTAACAACAGAAGATAGGAAAAAAACATGTGTAAAAGTCCTCAAAATGTACAGCCTGAAATGAAATACAGCACAGTGTATTTAAAAATACACTGCAGGTCTCAAATCTGCTCCTTGCTGTGGATGGTGAGGGATGTGGATAGAACTCGTGGGTGAAAAGGACAGAAGAAAYGAGAAGCATTTGCCTTGTTTTACTCAAAAATTAATCTGCATTTTTATGTCTGCAGGGACAAACAGCAAGGAGCCAGCAGAGAGAAGCACTGACAGCAGTGCTGCCACAGACCCAGCCAGCAAGTCACGCACACCAGCGTTAAACAGGCTTCTGTCACTGGATTAGTGGGACAAATCAGCAAGCCGACTTCCAGAACAAGGTCTTATTCCACAGGCTTAGGGTGCGAGAAACACRATACAACCAGATAAACCCGGAGCAAAGGACCCTGTTTACGGTTTCATTACAGCAAGCAGAGCTTTAGGGCAAGGGGCTACTTACAGCACCTGCAAACGCCCCCTTTCTTACAGGGCAGCAAGCAAAAGCAGAAGTTTTAGGGCATCGAGAGCTGCAGAGGAGCTTGTCTATATGATGCACAGACTGGGAAGTTCAGTCACAGGAGCTGCTCAGTCTTTGCCAGAGAAATCCAAATTCTGGATCCAAATTCCCCTTTCCAGCCCCTTTTGTCAGCTTAGCATGACTGTTAATAACCTTTTTATTGTGTCATCCCTAGTATCAGCAAAAGTATGATTCTATTTAAAATAACATATACCAGTAAGATAGCTTTTGCCTATATATATATATATATATATATATACACATACATATGTATTTTGGGACCTGATTTAAGCTTTGTTATGAGAATATGAGCTACACCTCTCAAAATCAGGGTTTGTCAGTGAAACTCTACTGCTACACATTTTCTAATGCCTAGCTTATATACTAAAAACTCAGCTAAAACATTCCTGAGACATTTGCTAAGCTTTGTGGCACTTTCCCCTTGTTTATGCTCCTTCCACCTCGCAGACCTGCTTCCACCCTCCTAAGCCACCAGGAGCCAGGGCAGGAAAGCTTAACAGCAGCTCCCGAGCTGTGTCTGCTCCCTGGCTTTTCCTATGGCTGCTGTCACCAGGGAGCTCCTTGGCCCTGCTGCTCCRGAGCAGACCGGGATCTCACGAACCACGCAGCACTGAAAACGAGTTTGCTATAAATCTCAAAGAGCAATAGTGATTCTCCAAGAAGCACATTAGATCCTTGTCATCATTCCAAAATACCTTGAAAATCACATTTCCTATCCATTCCTGGGGGTGGGAAGGATCACATACATAGAAGCACTCTTAACTAAGTGGACCACGTAAAGCCGTTCAGCAGCTATCCATCTCCTCCTGCCAAGGGGGTTTTGTGCCGCCTCGGTCGCCCGAGCAGACGCGCTGCAAGGTCAAACGAGCATCAGCGCTGGCACGAACACAACAAGGGAAATTTGGGCCGCAGCCCTGCCGGCTTCACTCAGCTAGAATCAATATAGGATTACAGCCACTGATACTCCTTGGGGGCTGCCACCGCGGCGAGGTGGCTGCGGCAGGATAAGGTGGCACCGGCACCATGGCGTGGAGGTGGCAGGAGGAGCAGCCCCTGTCCCCCCTGCAGAAGCCCCCGGCACCACGTCCCGCTCGTGCCCCTGCCCCTCGCCACACGCAGCCCTTTCCACACTGCAGCACGGGCGGCTGCCGGGTCCCCAGCATCTCCAGCCCCTGGGTCTTTCCTCGGAGCTGCAGTACTCGGAAAAACACAGTACATTAAAAAAATAAGTTCAGCTGGATTGTCAAAACGAATGTGGACAACTTGCCAGCCACCTCCAGCACTTTCCATTATTGGATTTCTTTTAGACACAGTATAAGCTTGCTTTGACAGCGCTGTGCTAACAACTAATTTTACAGAAATTCATGTTGCTATTACAGATGTGATTCYCTGTCTGTGGATGATTGTTGCACTGCAAATAGGCTCAAGGGAAAAGCACAGATCCGCCTCAGAACACCACAGTCCTCAGCAGGTAAGGCCGGGAGCTTGGCCAATATCAACCAGCATGACTTTTTTGGGAATCAACAAGGTTAAGCAGGGCTYGCCCCAGGTTTCAGGCAGAGTTTGACTTCAAGGACATCAGGCTCCCCAGGTATAAAGGYTATTACTTTTTTTAAAAAAGATTAGTAACAAATACAATCCATGAAAATTGAGATGCAAAAATAAGTGACTACTTTTTGAATATTATTTTTTATAATTAGGTAAATGGTTATCACTATGAGCTTGTTAAATTAAGCTATTATAACCCTGAAAGTTTCTCTTATTATCTAATTTCATTTAGAAAGCAAGCTGAAGGATGGCTACGCTCGTGACAATTTCCTTCACTTTCACATCCATCAGGGGAACTTTACTAAGGCAGCATGGAGGAAAAAACACTACATGCTGAGAATTCCAAAGGAGATCACACATGCTGTCACCACGGATCAAGGGTTAAAAGTTAACATTTGCAGGGGAGCATCATCCTCAGGGATCATTCAGAAAACGTCCTCCGATTCAACTCAGTCTCTGCAGGGCACAATTTGCAGAACAGGCTGCGCTTCCCTTTAGCAAAAGTCCCTGTCCCTATCCCAGCATGTCTGGAAAAGGGAAAGCTTCCTCTGTGCTGGGGCTTTCCTGCCCCTTTCCCTGGCATTCCCAGGGCCATAAGAGAGGCTCTCCCCTCTTCTCCCCGGGCTCAGGGATGATACAAGTAGCTGAGAACTGTTGCAGGGCAGCAGTAATACTTTAATAACAAAGTACCTTTTCCTTCCAGCACAAAAGGTGAGGAGCGGGGCATGGAAGTGTTTCCTTGGGAGGCTTTTCAAACTGAGATTTTTACAAAAGCATGAATGACCTGTCACAAAACCACTTTAATACGTAACCAACCCGCAAGTGAAAATAATATCAATGCAAAGTGTGAAAGAAAAGCAAATGAAAAAGCTGACCATCGTGCCAGAAGGAGCCCATGAGAAACGAGTCATTACCTATTACACTTTTGGCAAATGAAGCTCTCTTGAGGGTTGCCAGGCCTAAGTCTCCTATTTTCACAGATCCAGTTGGTCCAGTAATAAAAATATTGTCACATTTTAAGTCTCTGTGAATTATTGGTGGAGTTCTTGTGTGTAAGAAAAGAAGACCCTTCAGGATTTGCCGGCACCAGCTACGAAGGACTTTCGGCTTCATCACTTTGAATCTCTTCAGATACCTGCAATGCAAATAATACAGACACAGATATAAAGAAAACCAAATTGGAGAAGATACTAGAAGTTGGAACTTCAATTTAGATAAAAACTCTCCTTAGATACTGTAATAGCCATTCAGAAGAATCAATAAATAGACTTTTCTAAAAAAGGAATTAATATACTCATTTTTAGGGAGGAGATAATAAACATTTTGATGTCTAATATTAAAGCTACTCACTTTATGCAGAGAGGAGAGTTTGAACACTCTTTATATATTCAGATCAGAACAATACATAAACTCCTGGTTAATTTTAACCAGGAGACTGTGACCTCTGTATCACGCACCTGCACTATTTCCCTTTACCTTAAACAAYGATGAGGAGCGCACATGGTGGAAAAACAAAATGTAAAACCTGCCACTGTACTTGCAGAGCAGCACATTGGATATGTGCAGTGATGAGTATTGCTCCCATTGGGGCTGAAAATCTGTTCCAGAATTCATGCCAACTGCTTTATATCAACCTTAACAAGATTGTCAGTACCAAAAGCTATTAATTAATATTGTTTAGCAGATAACCTAGAGCACTTTCGGCTTCAGAAGGAGATTCCCCCATTCAAGTGTTATCCTGTCTGAACTTGGTAAGAAAACATGTAAATACAAGCATGAAATMGCTCACAAAAGATGACAAATGAGCCCATCTCATGCAGAGAGAACTGCTTCCAGTTACACAACCACAACAGATTAGGGAAGAGAGATGGAGGCCGAAATCCTTCCTGTCRAACCCATGAAGCTCAAATGCAGGGGCAAGTGACAGACACCAGAGAACAGTTCYATTTTTTTCTTTTATCTTGAGATGCCTTTTTCAGAATATGAAAGTAGGATTTTTCTAAAAATTTCCATAGCTATTCTTAGACTCCTTACCAGGAGCACAGTACTTACGTCTTCAGTGTTCCAGAGGTCATCAACTCGGTAACCAGCACGATGCATCTTTTTCCTTTTACACAGGATTCCCAGAAGTCATAAAATCTCACAATATTTGGATGCTGTAGACCTTTCAACATTTCCGCTTCCTCTTTAAATCTCTGTCTTTCTACTTTTGTTAATTTTCTATCCTATAATCCAAAATAAGATATTATTAGTACTGGACTGACAAAAATAAAGACACTGTAACTTCATTGCTTTGTTTGGCAGAATTCTAGATTTATGGTGGCATCAGAAGTGACCATGAAATATCGCACACAAGTGATGAGCAGAGTGGATGAGCAGGGCACTAGCCTCAAGGCCAGTGTCAAGAAGACAAAGACTTGCCCCCAAACCAGAAACTACCCGGGCTATGCTAYGTGACAGCATTACTGCTCCCAGCAGCACAACCATATCAGCATCTGATGCATCAACACACAGCTCTTTACTTCTTGTTTTGGCTTGGAAAGATCATATAGGAGAGCTTACCACACACAGGTATGCAGAGCAGTCACAGTCAGGCTGCTACTTGATTCTACAAATGCAGGTGAGAACTATACAGTGGCAAACRCACAGTGAGTTCCCCTGAGTAACTGCCTTGCACTGTTCAGCCTTTTCTATTCCAGTGACCAAAAAAMATATACAATGGCCCCTCAAAAATGAGCATGAAAATTTTTCTACTCATCTACAGCTCTGCTTAATTTCATGGACTCTCACTTTAAACTGCTGAAGGATTTAAAATCATCCTTCTTCAGGCTGTACATTGGCAGCATGGGAATATTTATTATTTTAGATTAGAAATGGGAGAAATGTCACATTCCACCAGTCTAGTTTACCTAGAGAAACTTGGGAACATCTACTGTAAACTCTACACTGCAAATGAAACAAGAAGTGTTTATGACCTAAACAAGGCTTCTTTTCTTCAAAGCTCCTCATGCCAGGCCCAAGCCCAGCCAAGTGGGACGTGATGTCCTCGCTGGAGCAGGAGCCATGGAGTCGAGCAGAAGCCTCCTTAGCTACTTGCAGGTAATTAAGACCCAAACCTTTACCAGAAAAAGGCAGCAAAAAGCTGGGGCTCTCACACCCTCATCCTTATGCTACATAAAGGAACAAAAAGGCATGTGCCAAAGCACTAGCAGAGCCACCAAAGGCCACACTGCCAGTCTGGTTCATCTCCCRCGGACAGTTACCGAGGCTGGGAGCACTTCAGTCCACTGTCCTAGAAATGAAGCCTCTTGGTTCTTTAAAGGGCACAATTGTGTAACTGTTCTTGCTCGCAGAAAGCAAGGCTCACAAATCACTAAAATTAATTAGCTCATTTTTTAACCTCAGACATTCTCCTTTTCTCAGCTAACATAGGTATGTTTATACCAACATCTTAGTGCATTAAATTGGCACTCCGCTTATTTTTAACAGAGATTCAGAGGGATAAGGCCACAGCCATTTCGGARCCGCCTGCCCTCATCCATATTTGCAAAGAACTCGATACAGAAACGAGGATTCACACAGCTGGGAACTCGTCAGCTTGGCACGGAGATCTTCCGAGGGGAAGCTGTGGGCTGCAGCAATCACGTCCTAGCTCTTCTTGGAGGAGAAGSCCCTGCTTTTCAGCGGGGCAGCTCCCGCTGTGCGGGGCGGCCGCTCGGGGCAGGCTGTGCAGGRCGGCCCGTGGCCGGGCGCCCCGCGCGCCCCACAGCACGGCCCAGCGGCCGCTGCCGCCCCCCGGCCTCGTCCTGCAAAGCGGGAGACAGGGCCGGGTAACGAGCTGCTGCAGGAGAGCCCCGCGACTGCTTCAAATCCATCGGTTCCTCCCCTACTGCCGAATGTCCTCTTAATTTAAACCTCACAGAATAAATCTGACASGCTCCTGTTATGGAGGAAAAGGAGCAATTTCTTGTGAGGGACAGGGAGAGCAGTGTGGATTAGAAAGGAAAAGGAAGGAACACAGACCTAGGTGCTCACTTTTAAAAAGGAAAAAAAGGCCTTTTATTAAAAACCATACTGTAATCCTTGACTTTCATAACCAAATTTCTGAATATTAAGAGAAATTTCCTACTGCTAATTTGGGAGTAACAAAATACCATGCAGACATTGGAGACCATCACATTTAACACTACCGGTTGCACGTGACAAGCATCAGACCACCTGGACTGATGACCCAAGTCACAGGATCACAGGACAGCTGAGGCTGCCGGAGACCTCTGCACATGATCCAGTCCAGCCCTTGCTCCACAGTGTCACCCAGAGCACGTTGCCCAGGACCATGTCCGGGGGCCTTTGGAATATCTCCACAGGAGAACCCGTCTGGTTTGAGCTTTCTCCCACTCTGTGACAATGTGAATACTTATGTCAACTGTATGGCTCAATGTTTATTCCAGACCCCCAAAATTATCACAGACATTTACTCCCCACCATAGTGGTCAAAAAACAAGCTCTGTGCTTAGGATAAGCAAGGCAAGGATCTAAGCTTCAGACAACTACCATCAGACAACAAAACCAAGTTGGGAATTGTTTGTAAATGTAATGTCAAAGAATGCTAATCCACTTAAACCGGATTTAAGGTGTCACTTGCATAAGCCAAACTGAGATGCAGTTTGGGGAAGCCTGGACTCAGGCAGCGAGTCGCAGGCCCAGGTGGGAGCTCGTGTGGGAGCCGTCGCCAGCACCACRCAGGCCGAGGCGGCGCCCGGGGCCGCTGCTCTGCTCGTCCGCAGCACGAGGGACACGACCCTGGGGACACCGCGGGACAAGCAAGCTCRGCATAGTCCCCCCGCTCTAACACCACCCCTCCTCTTCTGAGATTCCCCCGAGACACGAGACGTAAAAGGAAAAGCAGGAGGTTTCCAGCATGGTCGGACGATACCAGCCCTGCTCCGCCGTTCGGGACACGCGTCCTCTCCTTATAAGGTGCCCGCAGCGCTCGGCTCCGTCCCGCTCTGCTGGGCACCGTCCTGGCGCTGGGGGGATGCTGCAACTCTGCTTGAAACACACGAAAGCTTCTCAAACATGTTAAATGACATCAAGGTTTCTAAAATAAACTTCAACCTTCAAAGGTCCAGAGCAATCACACCGAGCGGGTTCAACATCTCCAGATTAACTGAATTTAAACAGAACCAAGCAAGAAGCGAGACAGCTGCTCAGGTCATTACCATTACGGAGGAATCTATAAACGTATCTTGTTTCTCCCTCTGAATAAGCTGTGGAGAATGCCCGAGGGAGATTTGTTCCCCACCTCTGCCAGAAGAGGTGATCCACTCAGAAGGACTCAGTGCAGACWCTGTGTGACCGAGACAGGACGGAGCAGCTGCAGCAGGGCGAGCTTTAGCTTCCCCCCGCTCGCAGCCCCGCTGCTCCGCGCTTGCAGACACGCTCCTGAGCTGGCGTAGGTATGATCCAGCTGTTTCACCGTAAGGACAACACAGCTGAAACACACCCAGCAGCAGAGGAAGCAAGGCGCTTCACCCAGCGCACAACCAAACTCACTCCTTTCAGCAGATGCTTCCACGCACCTCCCGAGCACAGCCACGCAGCCACGTGCCTTGGCCTGTGCTCAGAAATTACCCATTTACCGCTGCAGCTACGTGGGGCGGCTGTGGTTCCGTGTTTACCCCGAGCCCGCGCAGGTCCCAGCTGGACCCCCGGCAGAGCATCACTGCCTGCACGCGCTGCCCAGCTGCTCCTACTGCCCTGCTGTAGGAATAACCCAGCGC